TCTGCATCGCGCCAGCCAACAGCGACCGGCCCTCCTGGTTCGCCAAAGACAAGTGTCCCTAACCCGTCTGACATTGCGCTACAATCGGATGCAGTTGATGAACTCAAAGCGATTTCGCAGCCAGCTGGAGCAAGCATTGCGGACTTGCCTGGGTTCGGATATGCTTCAGAAGCAGGAAAGGGAGTTACGATCTATGTCATTGACACGGGCGCCAATGCAGAGAACTCCGTATGAAATCTGCAAAAAGCATACCCTCGTCCAGGACCAATTGCTAACTCACGACAGGAATGGACGGGCATGACGGGAACGAAGGGCTTTATGTACGCCCCTGGCGCGACGAAGGACGAGACCGACTTCTTGAACCATGGCTCGTGTGTAGCTTCAAAAGCAGCCGGACCAGCATACGGCACCGCCAAGGGAGCCGATTTGATTGCTGTGAAGCTACCAGGCACTCTCTCGCTCTCTGCTATCTTCACTGCTTTGATTGAGATTAGCAACGACGTCTTCCAGAAGAAGCTTGAAGGCAAAGCTGTTATCAACATGTCCCTAGGATCTCGTAAGTCTCGTGACGCGCCTTGTTTTCTATCGGCCTGGTTGTGCTGCAATTCTAAGAACACACTAACCATCCACCTATGGCAGGTATCCCCGACAAGTTGTCGTCTACCACCACCGCGTACAAACTACTCCTTGTAGCCCTTATGGCGGAAGATATCGTTATCGTCACGGCGTCTGGAAATGATGCTGTGAGTCTTCCAAATTGCGCCTTCTATCTTTGGCCTTCCGTGTTTCTAATCACGTTTTGTTTTCCAGCAATACGGCGTGGATGATGTGACAGAGTACCCTGCTCTCTTCGGGCCTACCACGGATATCATCGTCGTTGGCGCGACTGAGAATGACGGCTACCGTGCATTTTTCTCCCAAGGCACTGGAGATCAACTTACTGTTTCCGCCCCCGGTTTCGTCGATTGTGCCTCTGGTAGATCTGCCGGCTCGCAGGAGCTTTATGGGACTTCGTTCGGTGAGTAGTTGACATGTTTTGACAATGAATACAGTTTGAAAAGCACACATAACTAATACTCAATCCGAAGCCGCTCCCGCAGTCGCTGGCGTGATTGCAGTCTGGCTATCTCAAGACGAGCACAAAGCTCGTCTTCAGGTCCCGGGCTCAGTCGCTACAAACGTCAAGGAGATGGTCAAATCTCTCGCATACTCAAGAGTCGAGGGCGAGCCCGCCGTCATCTGGAACGGCATTGACCCTCGTGGGTTGGCATGTTCTGCCCCTGGATCTTCTGCGGGTAGACGTCGCCAAGCAGCGCCTTCGGGAGGCGCTGGTTCCTGTCAGGCAACTTCCGTTGCCTCTGCGGCTCCCACCAGCACCTCTGCTCCAGAAGCGCCGACCTCGACTTCTGGTCTAGCTCCAACCTCGGCTGCGCCTTCGTCATCGACATCTGCACAGCCTTCCCCGCCACCAAAACCGACCTGGAGTGATGCTCCCCAAGGCTTTACTAAGGTTTTGGAGCGTGATGGAGTAGCTAGTGCCGACTACGATGCCACTTCTGATAGCGCAAGTGAAGGGGTGACGAGCGGAATAGAGCAGTGGTGTCTCTCTAAGTGCACAGGTCAGTTTACCCCATCAACAAGCCGTCTTTCACGTCTGACACTTTCTCCACAAAGATCAATGCGCCTCTGTCTTCCTTTACAGGGTTCTTCAATTCAACCGCGGCGCCTACAATCCTTATTATATTTGCAATAGGTTTGTGCTCTCCGTTCGAGCGTCAACTTTCAAACCATAAGTGATAAACTAACATCTGGCACCTCAGGTATAATAAGGTGTGGTCTGATACCTTTATCCAAACTGGGATCAGTTCAAGTGACGCGGGCGTAGCATTCAAGTAAGTTGCTTCAGGAGCATCCTACTCGTATCTTTTTGGCTAACTCTGTCATTAGCAAAGTGTAGGATGCAAGATAGTATGTGTCCGCGCTTGGTGTCCTCAGTATTACTCAAGCGATTGCAATGGTGGTAACATGATGTTGATACTCCTAAGTACGTGATTACTTAGGGTCATACTAAAGAGAAGCCAAATTTCCAAGATTTCACGAGAATTTTCTTTCCGACTGCCTCCCATGCCTAAGACGGCAAACAAGAACTGCAAACATAAAGATCCTTCTGGCTGGTCTCTAGCCTGCGTGCATAATTGTTCCCTCGCTGCCTACAATGCTACCATACATATGTACTCGATCACTCTTTTTGCAATTTTCAAGGTTACAAGGGCGGCTTTGAATACCTTCAATCGAGCGACAACTAGGTAGTTTCATGTAAGAACTGCTCACCGAACATGGAGGCTGCAATCCGAAGCTAAGGCGGCGTATTCCACTCATTGAGATAAAGCCGTCAAGTGAGAGCAAGCTAAGGTGCCGCATATAAAGCAGGATGTTGCCATTCAGACTTTGATACTAACGTACCTATCTTGAAATCGCCTCATCTGCACATAATGAGTACCAACTGCTTCATCGCTCTTGTCGGGACTTGAAGTACACCCACAAGGGAGGCTTGTCCCAGAAGAAGAAAACTTTTTGACCATCTGCCCAAGATTTACTCTCCGGCGCCAACTCCAAGTCGAAGTTCCAAATGATGCGGGCAAGAATCAATCTCATCTCGGCAAATGCAAGGCTAGATACGCATCATGTTAGCAACCATTTTGATCAAGGCCCCTGGGACGAGGAAGAGCACGTTCAAGTACTAGAAAACATACTTCATGCCTAAGCAATTGCGAGGGCCATAAGAAAACGGCTGATGCAAGTTCTTCTGATCGCCATCGAAGCGCTTATCATCCAACCAACGCTCAGGGATAAACGCGTCCGGGTAAAGAAACTTGGTGGGATCGTGATACGCAGCATATTGCCAGATGCCTAGAGTCGTCTACATAGTATTTGATGTCAGTATGACACTCAAACAAGCCGCATCTTCACGAGGTAGGCAAACTCACCCCTCCAGTAACCCAGTCCCCGGCGATCTGCGCACCGCTCGGGGGCGTCTGACGTAACAAGGCGATCGCAACGGCAGGATAAACTCGCATTGACTCTTTGAGAACAGCAAGCATGTAAGGGAGGCTCTGGACGCTGTTGACATCAATCTCCTGCTCGCTCTTGAATGCTGAGCGGACTTCGGCGTTCAGCTTTGCGAGGACCTCGGGGTGGTTGCCCAGGAAGTATGTCGTTGCCGCGAGAGTCGTAGCAGTTGTCTCAGAGCCGGCAGTGGTGAGAAGGACCATGTTATCCCTCATCTCCATCGGAGACATTTCCTACACATCATATCTGTGAGACGGAAACATAGGAAATTTGGGCTGTGGACTTGGTAGTTGGTACTCACGTGTTTCTCGCCGCTCTTCAACAAGGCTTGAACAAAGTCTGGTCGATCACCCCCAACGGCCAGTCGTTTCTTCAAATTCTCCTCGGCCATCACCTGGCTTAGATGCCGCTGTGTCAGCACATCCTTAGGAACAAAGAGGATAAAATAGAGAGGTTTTAACACAGAGAAGAGAGGGAAGTCGCTAATGGCTTGAATCCACGGAATGATTTTCATGGACGCGAAGAAGCTGTCCACCCACGGGTGCGAGGCCGAGTTCTGCAGACATCCAAAGGGCTCGCCAAAGGCCAGATCCCCAATAATATCGAACGTCGTCCACTCAAACCACTTGGAAGCATCCATAGCCACTGTTCCGCCTTTGCTGTGTTCATGTACTCTCTGGATGAAGAGGCTGATCCATCGGTCCATCAGGGGTTGTTGCTCCGCCATAGCTCGAGCAGAGAACGCGTGAGACAAAAGTCGTCGTGCGGGCCCGTGCCTCTCACGCGATGCGGAAATGAGGCTCTTGTCCATCTCTTCGTTGCCGTACTTTGGGTCTTTTCCGTTCTCGTCTTGTCCGCGCTTGAGGTGTCCACAGACATCCTTCCATGCGTCAGCGTGTGCAAGTGCCAGCTCGTTGGGTCCAACGCGGACGACGTCGCCGTAGCGCTTGTGAAGTTCCAGAATGGTCAGGTGGGGAGTTCCTCGGAGGATGTTGATGGCTGCGGGCAGAGGCGTAGCTGCCCATAGCTTGGGTCCCGGGTAGCCGCGTAGAGGGTGGAAGAAGAGGTTGTAGATGACCGTTGTCACTCCGTAGATGCTTAGCTGAGAAAGTGATTAGCTTGGGTCGTGCAGTCTTTGGTTTCCGGCTGGCATACCGCAGCCGCTGAAACAAGCAGTGACAACGCGACTGAAGGCATCGCTGATGTGATGACAGACTTAGCTGCGGTGGACACTAAGAGATAGTGAGAATACGAGTGAGAATACGATGGAGAATACGATGGAGAATACGAGGGAGAAGACGAGGGAGAAGACGAGGATCAACTGAGATCTTGTGACAGAGATTGTAACTTGGCTTGATGATTATTGCTCGTAAAATCACGAAAACAGTTGCCGAGGGGTTCAATCAAGATAATTCTATTTCATGCCAGCTCGCAAAGACCGACTTAAGTCGTCCGCCGAACGACGGCCTAAAAGTACAACCCTGTCCTATCAGTCCGGCCCCTGACTCCGGCTCGGTTGCGCAACGCAGCCCGCCCGGCCCGCCGATCTCCCAGGAGCTCGGGTCTCAGTTTCCAAGCCGGGGGCCGTTTCCCGAGCGGCAGACCTTGTCTTAACGGCTCCTCGCCTATCGCAGGAAGTCTACCGTAGCGTTCAGCCAATGAAAGCCGATGTGTTGCATTATTCCTGGCGCATGATGTTTATTTTCCGACATCTCGGCGCTAGGATCTGCGTTGCTTTCTAGCTTACGCCATCTGCGTACGAAGGTGTTGTCATTGTCCAGCTGGCAGAGCTGTCCGTGAACCATTCGGGTGAACATGGATGCTCGTAAAGCACGAGTCAACGTCGGGGAAGATGAAGATCATACCGGTACGTCTGCGGGAGCCCCCTAATGGCCGAGGCAATTGGATAAAGCCTTGCGCTTGAGGACGAATCAGGTCCAACTTGGCAGTTCAACGACCCAGGTTCGATGCTCCTCATCAAGAGAAGCAAACGCACCATCCTTGAGCCCCCGGACCCATTTTTCAGACCACCATCGTGCCGGAAGCCTTTGGATTATCTTGCAAAAGTACGTGTACACGACCAATGCTTCCTGTGACGCATTACGACCCTGAATCAATGCGATCAGATCTCCCCTGTGGTCCGATACGTTGCTGATCCAGAGGAACCCGTGGAAGATATCTCTGCTCTCAGGAAACTCTGTCAGTACCGCAAAAGTTGCTTCAAGTTCTTCCGCGGCGTGCAGGTACGTTTCGTAATGTTCATTGGACTCGGTTTCTCTTATACGATCAAGCAAGGTGCCGAGGTATTGTTTCTTTGATGTCCTATCACGGTCTGCGAGCATTCCCATCGTATAGCCAATGACTGGATGAGTCAGGCTGGTGGTGGTGTGTAATGCCATGGACGCCAGGGCGATTGACCTTGATCCGTGAAAGAACACCATCCAATCCGGGGACGATGTTTCCTTTCGACTCGGACGGCCAAAGAAGGCATCTTGGGGGTGTTCCGTCTGTGAGATGACTACAAGGGTACCGGGGATGTTAGCGCTACATGTTGGTCGAGGAGTGAAGTGGACGATGCGTACTGTAAAACATGATGAACATTGAATATAGGAAGAGGTTTTCTCGCATGACGACATCTTCCACTTGGTCTATATGATGTATCGATGCGATAGTTGCCGCAGTCGATGTGTTGTGGTGCTTCAGCGCATGTTGAAATAGGGCTTCTTCTCGCGCCGGATTGAGATGTGCTAGATGAACCGCGGAAAGGGCCAGTAAGCTCCGCATGACAAAATCACAGCGGAACCCGATTTGCGCCGCATTTCTTAGCCAAAATGTTCTAATCACGGGGCTGACCGTCAAGCTGTCGTATGTGAAGAGTGTCCAATGATGTATCAGTTCGAGATCGAGCATGTTGAGATCAAGTGCCCCGCCCCTGTGAGAAAGGTTTTGAGATGGACCTGGTTTCGTGGTCTCTATTGGAGAACATGGTTTTGGTGAAGGGAAACGACAGGAAATAGCTTGCTTGGTGCATTGACTGCATCGAGGCCTTCTCTCATCACACTATCCCGAATAGCAGTCAGATCTCAGCTCAACCTGACTTGGGGCGGCCGCCTACTTTTACGTGCCTCGTCTTACAGGCAATACATCCCGTTCGAACCTTCTTATGAGCTCTTTTAGGCCCATTTCTCAGGGAAGGAAGGCTTTCCATGCCAAGCTCTGTCGTTCACAGCCCCGGGTGGGCAATTGGAAGACAGGGGTTGAAAGGCAAGCTTTAGTAGGTTGCAGCCAAGGTCAGGGGTTGCTGCTCGAAGGGTCTAGCTGAATCGAGACCGGCGAGACCAGAAACCTAGAGAACGAACGAACTGTTATTTTGATCAGAATGTGTGTTCCGTGAAAGGACTGAGGTGGGCGCGTAGCCTTTGCGGTTTACTGGCGACGGACTTACGGGGCCCGGCGAGGCGGGTTCGGATCATTTGGCCCCATTTCGTTCTCGTCGCGAGTCCGAAGTGGGGCTACGCTTCGACTTAGACGGAGGACCAATCACAGTTGACGAATTGCGCGAAGGGCCTACAAGCTCGTGATCATTGAACAACTTGATTGGAGATCTGATGATTGTACATTAGACCATCAATGTTGTTAAGTTATCTTACTCTTTTAGAAAATTTGACATGGTTCTAGCGAACTTCATCGGGGCATGGTCTCATAAGATGCTTAGGCTTGGTCCATGACTCCATGGCGACGTGGAGCATAGCTGAAGCTTCATAGGAGCTTCATGCTCGTTAAGTTGTTTGTTGAGTAGGGCACTTTCTTCAAAGTCTGTTTGGATTCAGGTGTTTGGTAAAGGATTAATGCTTTATCCCCTGTTTGTCCTTTAGTCTTCCATGACGGCCTACATCTAGTCCTGTGTGTCGGATCTTGGGACCCATGCATACTTCCCGGGCTTTAAGAAGCACTGGTTCCCCTTCCATTCTTCCATCTAAGGTTACAAATACCCTTCCCCCTACATCTTGAGCAAGTAGCTCTCTGTCTCCGGTTCAACATGTCAAAGGCTCTTGCCAGGCAAGTGTCCCGCGCTGTGGGACTCGCGACGAGATCGATTCTCTCACCAGCCAGCGTCCGATGCCTAGCAACTTCTCGTACCAGCCAGAGGTCTATCTCTGCACGCCCGAATCGTCGCGAGGTTGCTCTGCCTACACAATCTCAGCCCAAATCCCTGGTCGAATATGCCGTGTAAGTAACCCCTCCCGGATGGATTACCCATGGATACCCTCTAATCCCTCTTTCACCAGAACCACGCTCGACAAACTCGCCAACTGGGGTCGTCAATCATCGATGTATCCAATGACGTTCGGGCTCGCATGTTGCGCCGTAGAGATGATGCACATCGCCGGGCCACGATACGATCAAGACCGATTCGGCTTCATGTTCCGAGCGTCTCCGCGCCAGTCAGACGTCATGATTGTCGCGGGTACCGTCACAAATAAGATGGCGCCGGCTTTCCGTCAAGTCTACGATCAGATGCCGGAACCGCGTTGGGTCATTAGTATGGGGAGCTGCGCCAATGGCGGAGGGTATTATCACTACAGTTACTCTGTCGTCCGCGGTTGTGATCGCTTGGTTCCGGTAGACATCTATATCCCTGGATGCCCGCCGACGAGCGAGGCGCTACTTTATGGGATGTTGCAGTTACAACGGAAGATGCGTCAGGGAAGGAAGTCGAGAATGTGGTATCGCAAATGAGCTGCACAAATATCCCTATTGAGCTGCTATCTACACTGTCCAGTTGCCGTTCGGGTCATCTATTACATGAGTAGGAAGAAATAGAACATATCAAATACGTGACTTTGGTAAAGAGGCTTTCATTGCAGGCCTGAAATCAACAAAAGCCTTATGATTCACAGGCGATTGGGAAAAGATTACACTGTGTGAGGCTGGATACCTTGATGGGATCAATCTTCAGATGAAAGGGAAAAGGGGTCATAGGATGCAAAGTTGCCTCATCTGTCATCTGCCACATCATGAGTTGGATGCTTGAGTTGTCGTCTACTTCGGTGAAGTCTCCCGGGGTATTACTGCATCCGTTGCTCAATTCATGATGTGGTCGAATGACTTTTTTCTTTTTCGATATTACCAGACCCAAGACTATTCATCGCTCCATGCCAAGAATACTCAAAGAGAACAGAATCAATTGAAGAAGAAAGATTCTGAGAGGTAAGTGAGGGTATCTGATTCGATTTTTGATCTCTAAAAACAAGTTTTCCATTGTACCCCTGAACGCCATGCCATGCGACATTCCCGAGAACCCGCCAAAGCCCCGCCCGCTTAGAAGGCTGTTCTGCGCTTGCGTCCAGTGTACTTTGAGGTAGACTTGACAACCTTTCCCTTCCTCTCCATCTGCTCCTTCTTCTTGACGATCCATGCCTTGCTTCCCTTCTTGATGTCACCCTTACCACTCTGCTGGCTGGCCTTCCTCCTCGCGTCCTCGACATCGACGTTGTCCATACCGTCAACGACGTTTGTGATGTCGCCTCCGCGACCACCCTCTGCGGTACCCCCGACAGTCAGCACAAGGTAGAGCTTGACGTTCTTCGTCTCGGGGTCGTCCTCAAGCAGACCGGCGCCGAAGCCAGCCTTGACTGCGGCCTGGGTAATCATGTTGCGCTGGGTGTCGTTCTTGGGGTAAAATTGGCACACAGCGCGACCGCCTCTACGTAATGATGCGTAAAGACCGTTGAAAAATCTGGTGAGACGGCCCTCAGGTGAGGTGTCGCTGCTCTCGGCGTTGCAGAGCCATTGGATCGCGGAAATACTGATGGCGGCGTCGAAGGAACCGGCGCGGAAGGGTACGCCCTGTCCGATATCTGCGAGGAGTAGGTCGCCCTCTACATCTCTTTGGAGAGCAATGTCGAGCATGGAGGGTGAGACGTCCATGCCGACCCAGGTGTGCGGCCCGCCGTCTTCGGGGCCTTCGGCGGTGAGAATTTCGCCGGACAGACCGCTGCCACAGCCGACGTCGAGGATGAAGGAGGGCTGCTTGAGGTCGAGGAGCTCGAGAGCACGGCGGGTCATGGATGCCTGAATGTTTTGGATACGGGAACTCGTCGTGTACTTGCGGGCTTCGGTGTCATTGTAGTGGATGTCGGCCGCACTGAGAGCAGAGAGATTTGGTCAGCTGGAGGCACATGGCGGGGTTGGAGGGGGGTCTGTAGCCTACAGTGTATCCTCAGGGCGTGACATGTTGGGCAGTTTCTGGTAGAAGCTTGACCTCGGACGATATTTAATGGGGACTCTCGTCAATATTTGCTTCAGAGCAGTCTGTCGTCACGCCGGCGCATCGAAGAATTGGGCGGTGAATTGTGTGTCGTGGGAAATCCTCAAAAATTCGCAACTGGGTGGTCACGGATAGTTATCGATAAGAAGATCATCAATCTCATGGAATCGAGGGCTTATCGATAAAGGTGTCGATGTTCCCCGCGAGCCAGACGTGGTGGGGTCAATGACGGGAAGATGCGTCCAATTACACGATCGCTTATCTCATCCACCGCGGATCAAGAAATCCCCCGAGTGTCCGCAAAGGTACGGACCTAAGTACCCGACGCGCAAAGGCCACGCTTTCGCAAAGTGGATGTCACGACGCGCCCTGGCCAGCTCCGTCATAGCTTCAAAGAGACAATGTAGGGAGCTTATGTGCGCAACCCTTTCCCCCCCGGCAGATCAATAATTCAACAACTTCACACACTCTCTCTTTTTACTTCTCACTTCACTTCACTTCATTTCATGCCACATAACACGACGACATCTTAATCACAACGTCCGTCACCATGTGGATTCTACCTTTGGTCGGCTACCTTGGCTCCATCGTGGGCTTCTGCTTTTTGACCCTCGCCATCGGTTCGTCTCAATCGCCCGGTTCTCCCTTGGCACGCAGGCTGAGGATGACCTCGTACTAACATGGCTTGTCCAGCTTCCGGTCTGTATTACTTATCGGAGCTTGTCGAGGAGCATACCGTCTTTGCGAAGCGTCTTCTTACAAAGTTGATTTACTCGGTCATTGTCCTGCAGCTATTACTATGCATTGTCGACCGATTCCCGTTCAAGTTGACCATCATGGGAGTTGTCTCCCATGTCGTCTACCTCGGCAACATGCGCCGATTCCCTTTTGTCAGACTGACTGATCCTCTGTTCCTGGCTTCATGTGGTATGTCTCCGTTTCGAGAACCGGGCAAACACTCCATGCATAAACTAATCTTTGCCTCCTCAGTCTTGGTCCTCGTCAACCACTACCTTTGGTTCCGCCACTTTTCCGCCGCCCAGCAAAGATCGTACTCGAACATGCATTCCTACTACGACCAGCCCGACGTCCCGAGCTTCACCGAGATCGCCTCATACTTTGGACTTTGCGTTTGGCTCATTCCATTTGCTCTCTTCGTGAGCTTGTCCGCTAGCGACAACGTCCTGCCTACGATGGGAAGCGAAGACCCCCTGCGGGACTCCTCTGGCAAGAGCAAGCGCCAAGGCTTCGTCAAGTCCATCGTCGATACCGTTCTTGGCGCGCTCGCAGAAGTTTTCAGAACAGTCGGCTGGGAGCGGAGTTGATCTTCTCATGACGTCCGCGGACAATAGACGAATTTCACATGCGACGCATGTGGTGTGTACAATATGTCGGTAGACTACGATAACGACGGAATTATTAACCTGAAAAGGAGCGAGAGAATAGATACCCGGAGATCTTCTCCAACCAAAAGGCCCCCTGACGTTGTGCTGCGTGTGCGGCTCTTTTGCACTGAATCTATGCCGACTTTTCGGCCGACTTTTGTCTAAACGGACGGACGCTTTGCAGACCGATCGTCCTACACCTCGCACCGAGGAGGGCTGCACAGCTGGCTCACTGAGAGTGCACTAATATGTTAGCCATGACCTGCCACGCAAGCGACCATTTCTGAAATTAAGTATTCTCAGACTGCGGCGTTGGTGAGGCGACCAATCAACTCTACCTATACGCAAAAGTACTCTGCATGACCACCGCAAGCGAGGTCCTTGTTGGCTGGCATTGGACCCGTTTGGCGACCAACCGGCAAAAGTCCACTCCAGAAGGATCAAGCACAAACTCGGTGACAAGGTGTCAGGCCTTTGGCGGTCGATCATCCAAGATCCCTTTCCGCTCGCACTCTGTCACGGCTTTTTTGCGATGCCTGTCTGCCATGTGTCCGTACTCCTGCTGATGCGACGAACAAGTTGGCACTAAGGATGAGCGGCCGTGCCTTGCAGTAGTCCCCGGGAGTCAAAAGTACCTGCGTACTTTTGCCTCGTTAATTTTTGCAAGGTTCTTTTGAGCGGCGGCCCAGTCCCGCGTCCTGGAGGCGGTGATAGGAGGCAATCATCGTCGGCTCCCGGACCTCATTTTCATCCTCGGCAACAACTTTTTGACTTTTCATCCTCTTCTACAGATGGAAACCAGCCGCAAAAGACCCCGCTGAAAAGCCCCTGGTCTTTTTGTTGTTGAGGAGGAGGGCGAGGAAGATGAAGAGGAAGAGGAGGAGGAGGACCTTGCCGCTTCGCTCCTCATGGTGGTGAGGAGCGAGGATTTCGAGGAGCATTCATCATGACTACAAAAAGCTGGGCTATCGAGGCAATTTTCCCCTTCACTCGGTCGCTCAATCTCTCATTGCACATAACACATCTCATCTCAATCGCGGTCAAGACGAACAAGACCCATATTTCCGCCCTCGAAGCCGCCAAGATGTCTTCCAACCAAGCTCATTCCCCCTCTCAATACACCACCATCCCCCGGCCCAGACATGAACAATTCTCAAGCGCCTTCACCTACATTCAACCCAATGGCTCCGCCAGTCTCAACACCTGGCTGACATCCCCCCCTTCGGCGGCACCGTTCCACAACATTGCCGCCTACCGATCGTCTACCTCCGCTTCCGGGGGCGGCGCAAACGTGCGGGGCTCCGCTCCGGCTCCGAGCAGCAACGGCGCGACGTGGGGTAGCGGGCACGGCCGGCAGAATTGAGCGCGAACCTTTGGCCGCGTCGAATGCCGGACGGCAGCAGACTTTTACCGACAACGAGAGACGATCATCTTTTTGGGCGTTTTGAAGGACGGAATCTGGGATGGATAGATGGGCGTTGGGACAAAATAGCGGCACAATTGTACATGCGTGAAGGCTCGCGAAACGGAATGGCTTATTCCAGATTGTGCTTTTCTTGGGATGCGATCCCAGATTTTGGGACAGGCAATATTGCCACATGTTTGGTCTACATATGCCAAGATGCTTGCAGATGACCCGTGCCGCAGGGACTTCTCCGACAATGCCAATGTAGCCTATTGACGATACTTATTGACGGTGGTATGATCTCTTAGGACCGTTAACTCCGTGCTTGAGGTCTCCCATATAGGGAAAGCAAGACTCCCAACCCCCAATGAAGCACGTCTATCTCCGGTACCTCGTTCTTTATGAAGGATTATTGGGGATTTACCTGTAGCAGAACAGGTAACTTTGGCTCCGAAGCAATGTGGAAGAGCCCATCGGCTCCTTTGTGTCTTATTTGCTTTAGTGGTGTTCATGTCTAGCAATGGATGAGGACTAATGGATATATAGAGGCTGTCCCTGCGGTCTCGTCATCCTGTCCGAGGGCAGTTTCAAGCAATGCGATACTCTTTCTCCCCCTCTCATCGTAACTAAGCACGACCAAATTTGTCAGTACTTCGCGGAACAGACAAAGCATGGCTCCTTCTTTCAACAACAAGACCAAAGCGAGCGAGCTAGTGCCTGTCTACGCCCCCCAAATCGCCGGCAAGACGATACTCATCACGGGAGTCTCCCCAGGCAGCATCGGCGACAGCTTCGTCAAGCAAGTCGCCGTAGCCAAGCCAGCCACATTCCTTCTAGCCGGCCGCTCACCCTCAAAGTTCCAACCCCTCATCGACGATCTTGCAACTACACACCCCGGAATCAAAGTCAAGCCCCTAACTCTAGATCTCACCTCCTTCGCCAACGTCCGCAAGGCAGCAGAGACAGTCACCTCATGGCCAGACGTCCCTCACATCGATCTCCTCGTCAACAACGCCGGCATCATGGCCTCAGCCTACAGCCTCACAGAAGACGGCTTCGAAAGCCAGTTCCAAACAAACCACCTAGGCCACTTCCTCTTCACAAACCTCATCATGCCCAAGATCCTCGCATCCCCTTCTCCCCCGCGCATCGTCAACGTCAGCAGCAACGCCCACAGGCTCGGCCACGTGCGCTGGACGGATCATAACTTCAATGAGGGCAAGCACTACGACAAGTGGATGGCCTACGGGCAGTCCAAGACGGCCAACAGCCTCTTCTCCATCTCCCTTGCCGAGAGGCTGGGCCCATCAAAGGGTGTGACGGCGTTCAGTCTGTGCCCGGGGTACGTCCCCACGAACCTTGCCGCGCACGAGGCGCATGATTTCCCCGGATTCCTAGAGGCCCTGCGTAAGGCTGATGTGGTGGTGGGGAGCAAGTATATGTGGGGGATGGGGGATATCGAGCCCAAGGATATGGACCAGGGTGCCGCGACGCACGTGTTTGCGGCGTTTGATCCGGAGCTAAAGGAGAAGAATGGGGAGTTTCTTAGTGATTGTCGTGTTGCTGATCCTTGGAAGGAGGAGGTGTATCCTTGGGCTAGGAGCAAGGTCGATGCGGAGATGCTGTGGGCTTTGAGCGAGAAGCTTGTTGGGCAGGAGTTTAGATACTGAGATGGACTGTGTGTATTCCGTTCTTCTTCTGATAGAATACCGTTGAATATAATTCAACTTTCATCCCAAAACTATCACCCGCAATAGCCGAGCGGTATATAACTGGTAGAAAACTAGGTGCAAGCTTCTGCGAGGTTTTCATAGGAATTCGAACCTCGTGGGTTCGAGTTCTGAACTTTTGTTTTTAGTTGGACCTTGTACCTCTGGTTTCATACTGGCGAGACTCTCGTGCCCGGGAACGCAGTGAAGCTGGCTGATTGGGGCAGGGACCGAGGTTATGAAGCTCGCACTTTCCTTCGTAGAGAATATAGGCTGGCAAGAAATACACCGTAGTATCGTCGGCTGGTATAGCCCTCTGCGGAATTCCCAGTTGCATACTTATCACGGTTAAGTCCATCACTCATCATCCGCAGTAGCCGAGCGGTATACAACCGGTAGAATCAAGACGTGTGACAACGTCCGAGATTCATAGGAATTCGAACCTCACAAGTTCGAATTCTGAACTTTTGATTTTTTTTCTCATGGTTTTTTCCCCCAGCCTTCGCTCGCTCATGCTTCCTTGTCCTCTGCTCTTCCTTAGAGATGCGAACGCTGTTGTGCTTTATGCCTTGGGGAATTTGGGTTTGCTGGAATGAGCATGAGGTATGAGTATAAATGCCTAGATGGAAATCCATGACCGGCCCTGACTTAGGTAGCTACGCAGGTAAACAGAATTGAGAGCGATTGAGGACCGGATGTTCGAGGGTCTCGACGGTCCTTGGAGACGGAGGGTAGCTGCAGCCACATCTCGGGAGCACTCGCCACAGTTCCAGAAGGCTCCAAGCACAGCCACATAGAGGGGTATCTCAACTTACCTAATCACTCACTGGGTGCGACCTGGTTGCTTAGCCACAGCGCTTGTCGCACAGCCACTGAACTCCAATTGTTTCTCCGGCTGATCCCTGCAGTCCAATGAGTGGCGAAAAAACAACCACCAACAAACATCTTGGCGTTGAACGTCGTCGTCTCTAGCACCACGTTGGCTGGCTCAGAATCCTCCTCACACCGGCCTAGACGGACATGCCCGAGCTCTGATTGGGGCTTCGAGTGCCTCCCGACACGTACGCTCGTCATGCGTAGGCGAAGAAGCGAGACGAAGTGCGACTTTGCGGCGGCCGAGTCAACAAGCTTGACAGGAAAAGTGTGCCTCCATGGCCCTCCACCTCTTACGGCGGGCTTCCTGGACGTGCCATACAGGGAAAATGAGGCTGTGCCACTGCCGAGCTACCGACGTCATTCGTCCAATCTCGACACAAACGCGTTGGTCCCCGTCCCAAAGTTCGGTGGCTTTGCGCACATGGGACTGCTTTCACCTTTCTAGCTGTTGTTCAAAGTCTTTTTCGCCCTGCATAACGGAGACCGAGTGGTCCTAAAGTCTCTAGCCCACAGTATCCAGTCTGCCAGTCTCCTTGACTGGTCTCGGCTTTGCAATCCGACGCCGAGTGACAGACGAAATTGCTGTATCCGTATTGCCGTAGGCGGGCAAAAAAAGGGCCCAAACGGATGCCTCTCCTTTGCTGGGCTGCCTCAAGCCAAGCAACATCCATGGAATGCCAACTCTAATGTCGCCGTACCGCCGTATCCCCCGGTGGCGACGCAGAAGTAGGCGAAGCTTTGCCCTTTTCCCCACGCCCCAAGGTCGTCACTGGGGGCTGACGACGCGGCTTTGCGACGACTTGGAGCCCAGATTCAGGCACCCTTTCATGGCTATTGGGCACACTCACACCTGGGGGGCATGTGATGTTCGGTCGAGAGACGTCTCGCGCCGCAATGCAGGCTTGCGCTGCGTAACTGCGTAATCCCACATAAGCTTGTTCTTTGCTCTTTGGGCTGGGCGAACAGTAGTCTCCTCTTTAAAAGGTTCTCCCTTCCCAGTGTTGTGCTCGCACCCTGTTCTCAAGGTCCAAGACCTTTCCCTGCGCAATCACTCACATCACACATACATCGAGACCAGACTGTGATGGGATCATTGTACGAGGTTCCAGAAACCAGTCGTCACCGCCCAACTAACGTCTCTATCAGACCCGAACGCGACATGGCTCCCAATATCGACTCGGCGCTGGGGACGGCGGACATGGCGAATGAGCAGCGCGGCCTTCTCGAGCTCATCGACAAGCTGCAATTTGCCCAGCTCGACAATGTCAAGCTGCCACAGATCGTCGTCGTCGGCGACCAGTCGGCGGGAAAGAGTTCCGTCCTCGAGGCCATCACTGGCACCCCGTTCCCTCGCGATGCCGGCGCCTGCACACGCTTCGCAACCGAAATCCGCCTGCGCAGGTCGGCCGAAGCGAGTCTCACCGTCTCCATCATCCCCGACAAGAACAAGCCTTTCAGAGACCAGGAGCGGTTAAAGCAGTTTGGCGGAGCTGTCGACACAGACATGTCCTTTGAGTCTCTCATGAGATCTGCGGTGGAAATGATTGCCCCCAAGAACATTCCGGGCAGATTCGCCGCCCGCGACATTCTGGTGGTTGAGAAGAGAGGTCCGGACATGCCTCTGCTCACCCTCGTCGATCTTCCAGGTCTCGTCAAGAACGCCAACAACGACCAGTCGATGGACGACATCAAGACGATTGAGACCCTTTGCGACCGATACATGAAGAGTTCCCGAACCATTATCCTTGCTGTCGTTGGCGGCAACACCGATTACGTTCAGGCACCCATTCTCACAAAGGCACGCCATTTCGACCCCTCCGGCAGCCGTACCATCGGTGTCCTGACAAAACCCGATCTTTGCGAGTCGATCGGTCTGGAAGACAAGTTCATCGAGCTCGTCCAGAACAGAGACAAGCAAAATTACTTCAAGCTCGGCTGGTATGTCTTGCTGAACCCTGGACCCCGCGACCAAGGCCAGCCTTGGCCTTCAGCCCGCGAACGTCGTCAACGTGAGGAGGAATTCTTTGGCCGCGGAAAATGGCGCGCTCTTCCCAGCTCCATGTGTGGTGCCAATGCGCTCAAGCAAAAGCTGAGTGTTCAGCTGCAACGTCACATTGGTCGTCACGTCAAGACACTTCGCAAGCAAATCCAGAAGGCGCTCGACGACTGCGACTCAGAGCTCAAGTCCATGGGCACTGGAAAGGACACTGTCGAGGAGATGCGCATCGAGCTCGTTGAGCTTTTCTCCAGTTCCAAGGAACTGGTTATCCCCGCCGTCTATGGTTTCTATAAGAACCCTCCTCGCAAGAACTTCTTCCGCGCCACAGCCGACCCCCGAGGCACTCCCGCTCAGAACTTGCGTGCCCGCGCCATTGAGGAGAACGAAAAGTTCTCGCACCGTATCCGCCAGAACGGTCGCAAGTTTGGCTTCTCGTCATCCACTGCACCCGGTACCGCAGACGGTGTTACCATCAGCGATAGCAGCAAGAGAGAGTTTGTCGGTAGAGAAGTCGAGATGCTTCTGCGGCAGATTCGTGGTTCCGAATTTCCCATGGATCCCAAGCCTCGCGCTGTCTACATGCTTTTCCAGAGCTACTCGGAGAACTGGCCAAAGCTCGCTCAGGAGCACAAGGACAATCTCGGCGTCGTGTGCAACGAGTTCCTCAGTGAGGTCATTGACTTCGCGTGGCCTCAGCGTATGCGCGAGCCCCTGCGCTACCAATTCCTCGATGTTCAGATGAAGAAGCTTCTGGCCGACGCACAGGTCGAGCTTGAGCACCTAACGCAAGACATGAACCTCGAAATCCAGCCGTACGACCCCGAGTACGAGGAGCGTCTTCGCAAGTGGCAGATTGAGACCACCAACGATGGTGCCACCTACACCGAGGCGCAGGAAGTCTGCGAGAAGATGTTGATCTTTTATGAGCTTGCAGCCAAGACCTTCATTCGCAACACCATTACGCAGGTCGTCGAGAGACATTTGCTGCAGGGCATGTACAGCATCTTCAACTCTGTTGAGATTCTCGGCATGCCTGCCGAGACGGTCGAAGCTATTGCGGCCGAGAACAAGGAGACGCGCGACCGCAGAATGACGCTCAAGACGCAGAAGACTGCGATCGAGGAGGCCCGCGACATTTGCGCCAGCTTGGCCATGCGCAAGGAGCTGAGAATGGTAAGCCCTAATTGTTTTCCCTCATCACAATCGAGCATGCTAACAATTGCTTCACAGTACGCCGACGAAGACCGCGATCTAGAGGACAACAGCTCCGATTCGGACGAAGACAAGCCAAAGCAGACAACCACGCGCAAGCCCGTCAGCAACAATGCCAGCCCAAGCCGCGAAACTACCCATCGTTCAACGCGCTCTCGCGATGAGCGCGAGGAGCGTCCCTCAGCGAGAACACAACCCACCGAGTCGGTGACGAACGGCTACTCCTACGGCGGCCACCCAGCACCGGCACAGGCTCCTCCCGTCCCGACCTCGCGACCGGAGCGTGCCGAGCCCGCTAGGACAAACACCAGCACGTCCCAGTGGGAAGATGAAGAGTACTACAGAGCTCCTTCCTCCCAACAGGCCTCCGCGCCGGCCCAGGCACCTCCCCCGCCTCCTCGTCCCCAGAAGCTGAGACCCGAGGACGCGGCGTCGGATGCGTATAGCCACCGCTCGCAGTCTTCGATTTCGGAGCAGCAGCACGCTAATGGCTACGGAGGGTACTATGACGCCAATGAGCACGCGCCCTCGTCTACGAGACGTGTGACTGCCAAGAAGCTGTTTGGTAGAGGTTAAATTGAGAGAAGATGAGAGACAGACTCCAGTTTGAGCATGGGATTCTAAATTTTAGCGATGCGGCCTGTTGGCGTTTGGTAGGATGATTCGATTTCTCGCTTTGGGTAGACAGTGGTCTCTGGGACAGAGGGACGTGGGATGGAAACTTGCCAGATACCATTTCTATAGAATCATACGCAATTTCAATCGACAATGTACCTTTGCGAACGTGACTTATAAGCCCTGAGAAAAGCAATCTGGAGTGATGGGAAGACTCGACACCATTGTCAGCCTTGCGGCACTGCGACTAAACGATGTGGTGTAACCTGCATATAGACCTTGTTTCTCGTATTTTTTTGTCTGACATCACTTGAGAATGAGGCAAATTCGAAGCCTTTCCGGTAAGTTCACGACAGGACGAAAATTGCATCACCCTGACATATCGAGCAGACAATGACGGCTACAATCACAGTGGAATTTCATCGTTGGTTCATTGGTCATCAATTGTCATTATAGTATACATCTAACATGCTTTTCCCATCCTTTTATGCAATGCAGTGTTTTCATCCGTCCATACTTTTGAGACTCTTACGCCTGGGCAATCTTCAAGACGGCCTTGCCAAAGTTCTGGCCGGTAAGCATGCCAATGAAACCCTCAGCAGCCTGGTCGATGCTATCCGTCTGGTGGATCTTGACCTTGAGCTCGCCGTTGGCAATCATGGGCTGCACCTTCTCCTGGAAGGGCTTGTACTTCTCGGGCGACAGGTTCACGAGGAAGCCCTGGAAGGAGAGCTTCTTGGCGACGAGGTGGAAGAGGCCGCGGACCCCCTTCTGCTGCTCGCGCGGGGTGTTGTAGTCGGAGATCATGCCGCAGCCGATGATGCGGCCCTGCTGGTTGAAGGACTCGAGAGCGGCCTCGAGGTGGTCACCGCCAACGTTCTCAAAGTACATGTCGATACCCTGGGGCGCGAGGCGCTTGAGGGCGTCGTGGGGAGACTCGGTCTTGTAGTTGAAACCGGCGTCGAAGCCGAGCTCGTTGATGATGAAGTCGAGCTTCTCGTCGCTGCCGACGGAGCCAATGACCTTGACGCCCTCAGCCTTGGCGAGCTGGCCGACAATCTGGCCGACGGCACCGGCGGCGGAGGAAACGAAGATGGTCTCGCCCTTCTTGGGCTTGCCAATGTCGTAGAAGCCCTCGTAGGCAGTCATACCGGGCATGCCGAGAGCGCCGACAAAGAGGGGCAGGTCGACGTTGTGAGTGTTGGGGACCTTGAAGAAGCCGGGGAGGAATTTGGCGGGGATCGCGGCGTACTCGGCATTGGGGCCCATGAAGGAGGTGACGAGGTCGCCGGCGGCGAACTGGGGGGCATCGGAGCGCTCGACGCGGGCGACGATAGAGGAGACGATGACGGCGCCCTGCTCAAAGGGAGGGATGTAGGACTTGCCGGCCTCGGCGGGGCGCATGCGGCCGCGCATGTAGGGGTCGAAGGAAGAGTAGAGGACCTTGATGAGGATGCCGCCGTTGAGGTCCTGCTCGAGGTCGATGGGGCGGTCTTCGGTGACGAGGTCCTGGCCGGCGACAGGCAGGCCCTTGGGGACCTGCTTGAAGATGAAAGACTTGTTGGGAGTAGGAGCCATTGTGAATGTGTTAAAGTGCGAAAGTCTAAGTGACGGGGTATCAAAAACTGGAATATTTAGTGGATAAAGTATGATATATAGGGAAGAGATGTAAGTGATTTTTTCAAACTTTGACTGGGAGATATGGGATTGTCTTGGTGTTAAATATATCTTAGAAACCATCTGCTCCATATCATGACGAATCCTGTAAAAGGGTCCATCGGGCCCGCGCCGGGTCCGACCCTGTGATCCGCTTGGAACAGTTCAATGTTCAGCTCTCCTCAAGCTTCCTGGTTAACACGGGGCGACGGAAGGCATTGGAAACGGCAACGTCATGATGGAAGAACTGCCAGGAGGAGCATCCACTTTGCTTGTTCGATCGGTGGAGATTCTTCGAGAGCCGGGGTCCGCCGGCATTGGCCATGCCCATCAGGCCGTGTTTTGTGAGGTGGTTCCTGGAAAAAGGATAGCGGAATTGTCAAACGGGACTTGGCCGCTGTTGCCCCCACGGACCCTTTCTTTTGATCTGTCAGCAGCAGCACTTAAACATGGGCGCTAGATTTTTTCCTTCCTTTCCATTTGCCCCTCCATCTTTTCTTGGTGAAAGATACCGCGGTTCATGGCGGGGCACATGCCGCTTTGAGATGCGGAAACACATACCAGATATCGCTTGGGTAGGCGGTGTGTCTTGGAGGTCCAATCAAGCTCATCAATGTCACCATGAAGGCCAGTCAAGACCAGGGATTCCTGGATTCTCTGATCTGCGGTCAAGATCGCTTCGTCAATCGTCGTGGACTTTGAACTGCACAGCTCCCGCCATTGTTGTTTGGTGGACCTGCAATGCTGTATCTTTCCTTATGATTTGATGAGTTAACGATGAAATGGGATGGCTGCGGCCCAGGGAACTCGAGTCAGGGTGAGGCTCATCACTGACTAGTCCTGACCCAATCTTGCTCGAAGTCGCCTCTCCGTTCTCCAAAACGTGCCACAAGAAAATCTCTACCCCGTACCAATGAAGCAATGATGACAAAGCACAAGCTCAATGCCGTTATTGTTCTGGCGCTCGACCATCCGGAGCTGGTTGCCCCTTTCGGTGGAGGAGGGCCCCGATAAAATAAGAACAGCGCAGAAAACATCGGTAGTCGCCTGAGCCGTGCCGGTTGCCAGGTCCGCGGGGCGGGAGGCCGAGGCTTGGTTCACCGTCCGGTGCTGTCAACTGGGTACTTCGTAGCATCGTAGGTATCCGCAACGAGTCTGGACCACGTCTGCTGGGTGACAGGAGCCGAGGTTCGTTTCGCACTTTGTTGATGGATAGCAACGGGATTCTGGCAAGGAAAACGGGGTCCGGGGCAATTGTTGGCTTGTTGCTATGTTCGGTTGAATGATTGCCCCAGCGTCAAGGAGCGTCGACCCAGCTTTCACTTCGTGATGGGATTTCTGATTTCAAAGCCAAATTTCCGCTGGAATTCCACTCCTTGCGTTGTACTCCGTACTCAAACGGGATGCCCCTCCCTTCGCATCGTCGATCATTCATTGATTGTTCTCGAAGTCTCGAAATCTCCGATAGCCCTCAACCTCGACTTATCGGCGGTAAAGCTCGCCAGGGATTCTCTCTTGTTCCAGAGACAGCGCCGCTAAGGATCGGTGACGCGATGCAAATGCTTTACTAGCATCCTTGCTTGGCCTCGGACTGTCGCCTGTTCTCGCACTTCGCGTTTCTCGGGCGCGGTATCCGCTGTGATAGTAATCAGTCGGACACCTTCGCGGCCATCGTCAACCCAAAATTCCTCGTAGCCCGTCGCCTCGAAACCCATTTTCTCAAAGCATCTTCGTCCTTCTGGCGTTGCTGTGAGTGCTGCCAAAATGTCAGATCACATCGATGTTCCTCTCCCAAACGGATGGATGTCAATCGAAAGCCTGCAATGCCAGCATGGCGAGCCACTCACGAATCACTTACCTGAATAGCCGATGATCGACCATCCCTTCCTCTCTGCAGCGGCTACAACAGCCCGCATCGAAGTCTCGGCGAATCCTCGCACCTTGCCCTGCGTCTCAGGCACATCGAATCTCTCGACGTGAAAGACGTGCAGCCCAACCTCTGGGAACTCAGCACCATCGCGAGGAAACATAGTCCCGGCATCCACATCCACTTCCTTGACCTCGCCCGCCAGCAAATCCCGCCACGCAGACGCCAGGATCGGGAGTGCAATGACAGCTCCGACGAGTGTCTGAGTGTCGTCGTTCTCCACGGCGTCGGCAGAGAGATAGAAGCAAGTGGCCAGCTCGGGCGCTGCAGTTGTCCAGCTCCGAAGGCGGTCCCAGGTCAGCGGCGCGGGGTACATGTCTTGGTCGGACGCGAAGATGCCCCTCAGGACTTCGTTGGTCATCGAACCCTGGTTCAGAGCAGGAGCTGGTGCTGATGCTGGCATTTCGGCGGTCTTTTCGTTCGGCTTCGTTAGAAGCTGTGATGGAAAGAAGTCGCGACGAGGTGGTTTGTGGTCGTTGGAGTGTGGAAGTGTCAAGATTTCAATCATGAAATTTGGGTTGTGGTGTTGGACAGCAGTTCCTTCCTCTTACCTTCTCTTTGAGGATGATATGGTGCTGGGTCGCGCTTGGAAGGCGCTGAAGAAGCTGAGGTGCGCTGCAGCTGTTCCCCACCCAACGCTGCCTACAACGTGTAAGCTGAGCCCGGGCACATTTCACTTACACCAAGGTCTCTCTAAAGGCACCACTTGCAATCACCACCTGATCGTTACAGTCACGGCCTTGAGTGGTTTATCTTAGTGGCATGCTCTTTTTTCATGACTCTTATTGTTGTTACACGTCGTTATTCCCATGTACCCATACCCTGTGCCTCTCAATACCACCTCCTCGCACTCCCGGGCTTTTGTCGTGCCATGTGCAGATACAAAAACCAGGTATTGATGTGGTTCCTCCTCGTAAGCACAAGAACTCCTTTCCTTGGTATCCTCCCAGCACTGTCAGACGGGAACCATTGCTGCGCAAACTCCAGCTGCTTCCTCTCTTGGTTGCGTAAGGGCCAACAACTAAAGTTCGTCGCCAAACTCAAACATTGCGAGAGGGTCAGGGCCACGAGAGATCCAGCGGATCTCACCGGTCTGAGGATCCATGATACACATGAAGTGAGTCGACTCATTGGTGGTAGGATAGGCAGCGATCCATTCGCGCAGTTTGGCCTCGTCAACGCCAGTCATCTCGCCAGATTTGCTAGCCTCGGCATCAAGCTCGAGATCCGTGCAGCAACTATTCTGCGTGGCCCAGGTGATGTCGTTTCCGTTGGTGATGGCACGGACATGTTCAATCCACTTGTCGTGGAAGGCATTCTGACGATCCGCAGACACCTCGATCCAGTCCTCAAATTCAATGAGCTTTGCCTGGACAGGGTCGGCGCCGTGGCGTGCAGCCATGCGGCCACAGCAGCGTCGATGGTCAGGGTCGTGGTTGCACTGAATCTGGAAGACGCTGCTCGTCTTGATCTTGCCGTCATGAAGATCCTTGAGGATGTTCACTACCTCTCTTCCATCGCAGAGGGTCAGGTAGCAGGGCGACGTCTTCGAAGAGGCAAGCTTCTTGCCGATGGACGTGATGAGAGTGGGCTTTCTGCTTTCCCCATGGGGGTTTGGGTCTTCGGTATCATAGACCTTGTCATTCTTGATGGAAATATCCTCATTGAGGATGATGCGGCGGAGCATTGAGGGAACAGACTCGCGCAAGCCGAAGAGGACCTTGATTTGGTGCCTTAGAAGGCTGCCCGAACCACACTAATGGTTTGGGCGGAAGTTGAGAGAGACCGATAGGCCCTTGCTAAGATAAATATCAGTCTATACCAGTCCTCAATGGAAAGCCTGCGGCTTACCGGACACCAGTCAGCATGCCGACAAAGCCAGCATAGGTGACTGATCTGGCAATCACCTCATTCGGGCCATTGTTCGTGTTGACATACTCAATGATGACAAGGATATCACGTAGGATATCCATGCCCCACTGCGATGAGTCGTTAGTGTCAGATACTCTTTGTCGAGAAAGGGATATAACCATACCTCAAGAGTGCGAAAGTGCATCAGACGGTCAGGATCACCGCCACCAATCTTGCGCTTGGAGTCATCCTTGACCAAGGCAGCTCCAGATGTACATCCAAGCATCAGGTCAAGAAAGGTGTTGAGGGCCATGAGCTGGTGAACGGGGATGCCAGCAATCTCAGCGATGGACTTGATCTCCTTGGTCTGCTCGGGGTCGAAGACCTTACGGAGGGTGAACCGAGAAGTGAACTTGGCAAAGCCAGACATGCCCCGAGGGAAGGTCGCCTCAATCACCCCGTCAAAGAGAGGGCTCACTTCTCTTATCTTGGGAGCAAGATCCTTGGCGAGCTCAATGTAGCGCTCTTCAGCAGGCTTGCCCATGTCGATCTTGTAGATTGGAATATCGTCAGGATTGAGTGTGAGCATGGTCTGGAAGGCAGTGTGATTCTCATGAAGTGTGACTTGAAGAGGGTCGTAAGGCTCGGAAGGCTTGAGGACACTGCACTCCATGTCGGAACCAGACTGGAGTGTCCCCTTGGATGGAGCCGCCATTGTGGCGAACGTTTGGGTTGAATACTGAGATTTGCTGAACGTGTCAGGTTCTTTTGGGAAGCAGGAGATGAAAAAATGAAAGGGTGTCTTACTGTGATGACGATGATGTTAATCGCTGATCAGACCTTGGGCCTTATCATTTGTGTCGATGCTAGTATTGATGAAAGATGTAATGTTGCATGCGATGACGACAACGTAAAACCAGTACCGCAGAAGAAAGTCACAAGAGCTCTCCTCACGCGATGCCAGTAGTGTTAAGTAGGTATCTTTGAAGAATATTCTGGTGTCTGGGCTGGGTAGCACAGAGGAGGATGAGTGGGTAAAGTGGTGGAAAGGTGTGGTGGATGGAAAAGACAAGGTACCCAGGCAGGTGGTGATATGGGCTTTCTACCTTAGGTAAGGTAGTTGGTGCAGTTCCAAGGCGATTACAGGGAGAGGCGTTTGAAAGCGAAGGTTTCGATGTGCCTTCCAGATATAATTGCGGTTTCCAAATTATTCAGGAAGGCAGGAGCAATCAGGTCGATATATCGAAGCCACCTTCCTTCGAACGAGAAGAAAAGTATGACAGTTACCTTACCTAAGTATCTGGATTCTCAGTGAGAATGAGTCAGTTACCTCACTTGGGATGTGCTAAGGACCCCTTTGGGAATTCGCTGAGAAATCGATCTGAGAAACTAGGTGTGGGGATCAAGGTAGTTTCGAGGGACAAGACGGCGGTCAAGGGAAGAGAGACCTAGGTAGAGCCTCAGACTTCTGTCAACAGGCAATATCATCAACACTTAATGGTACTTCATGAGGCTTCGCTCATGCTGTTCCCAAAGTATAAAGCCTAGCACACGCATCTTGGGGAGATAGAAGAGAGCACCAGTTTCATGATTATTAAGTGTAATTACGAGCGAATTCTAGTCTACCTCGCCCCTTGTCCAAGTTACATATAGTTCATCGGTCCTTCTATAACGACCCCATCGCACGCGATGCCAGCATACATATGCTTCAGCACCTTCTAGACTCTAGCGCAGCATTCTATAAGCGCCGTCTATCGCGCCTCTCTCTCCATCGTAACACCCATGCTGCCCTTAGGTCGCAGGGTAAAGTTGGGATTCGCAAGCTCCACCACACCATTATATCCAGGACGCGGCGAGAAATTGAAGTTCCGCACAAGAGCAAAGATTACGCTCTTGACGTTCAGCAAAGCCATGTTCTTAGCGATGCAGCCTGCCGGGCCCTGGAGGAACGACTCCATGGCGTACGAGTCCTTTGATGCGCGGCCGTCGGCCCAGCGGTCAGGGTCGAAATTTTCAGCGGTCTCGCCCCATACGAGGGGATTGAAGTGTGCCACAGCCGGGCAGAGAGTCACTTGTGTTCCCTTGGGGACGAAGATTCCACAGACGGTGACGTCTTCTGCTGCTTCGCGAGGGAGAAAGATTGCTATTCGTGGACTTTGGTCAGCAAACCAAACTTGGCTTATGGGATTTCATGAGTCATACCCGGGGAGTAGAAGCGGAGCATCTCCTTGAGGAAGTTGTTGACGTAGACCAAATGTTCGGTTTCCTCGTAGGTCGGGTTCCAGTCTCGAGGCTTGCCCGCGCAGAGACCGAGGACTTCTTGCTTGAGGCGCTCCTGTACTTTGGGCTCTGTGGCAAGGATATGAGCAATCCACATGGTGATAGATCCAGTGGTTTCGTGGCCTATGATGCAGGGTCAGCGTATATCTTTGATTGTTCAAATTGTGTCTTGTCATACCTCCAGCGATGAAGTTCAGCATCTAGAGAAGTGAGTTAGTAAGTATGGAAACCTCAAAGTTTCGGATAGACTTACGTATTCCAAGAGCTCTAGATCAGTCCAGTTGGTCTGAGTAGCGTCGAATTGGCAGTCCTCTAAGATAAATGTCAAGATATCGCGATGCTCAGTCATCTTCTCACTGAGACCGAGCTTCTTCTCGGCAATCATCTCGGCACGGCGGTTCTCAACACAGGTGAGGAGCATTGTCCTGATAAGGGCAACATCCTCCAGCCACCTCTTGTTGCTAGGGAGAGGAAGCCATGAGCGGACAGGAATATGGCCATCGATGAAGGTGAGAACGTGGCCAGAAGGAGGCTGGCGGATTATGCGCTCGTACACGTCATAGAAGTGCGCTTCAGGGATGGAGATGCCGTCAATATCGCAGCCGATCGAGCCAATGACGAAGACGTCGAGAGTTGCCTTTCGGATGTAGGGTTCGACTTGCAATAGAACATGAAGTCAGCATCAATTCATAGTCAGGAAAGAAAAAAACTGATGTAGTATACCATCAACAAGCTTGACGTCCTCTCCACCCATGTCTCGGCAGATTGCTTCACACATCTGGTTGGCCTTGAGCTGGAAGACTGGCAGCATCGTACGAGTGTTTTGGTTTGAGAACGCCCCTGCGTAGCAACGTCAGTAAAAGAAACGCGCAAAACGCAAGGGGTAACTTAAAATATAGGAACTCACGATTTAACTGGGTTCGCTGCTTCTTTCTCTCCTCGCCCTCTGAGAACATGAGTCCATGTCCGGTGATGGGGGAGAACATGCGTGCTGCCAACTGTGACTTTCGGAATGAGAATGCCTTCGTCTGCTGGACCTCTTTGAAAGCCTCCAGATTGTTGACCATGAGCGTCTCAGCATTTAGCATAGAGAGGTAGCGCACAAAAGGCGCTTCGGGCCATTGCTTTGTCCAAGAGATGAAGATATCAGCTGGCCCCGGGGTTCTGATCTGATTGAGCATCTGACCGATCAGGAAATGACCGCCCTATAAGCTCCGTGAATTAGCGCTTCTGCAATATTCCATATCTTTTATTTCGTGTGGATCCTTCCTATGTGTATGTGAGCAAAGTTGATACTCCTTACCTTTGGTCCTGGAAGGTGCCGTAGCGGTGAGAGGAAGAAAGGATAGAGGAAAGCATTATATCCTAAGAGAACAGTACATTGCAAGGTGAATGAAGCCAAGAAGATCTTGAATGCAGTAGAAAGATCCAGGTACAAGAATCTGATGCTAATAATTGCAAGTAGAAGCGATATGCCTGTGCAGAGCTTCAAAGCCATGGTTCGAGGGCAAGGGGCAAGAACGAGGATGGCGTAACGTCCAGGTCGTGAGGAGAGATATTAGTGAAGATATTAATGATGAATCAGGATTAAGGTTAAGAAGAGTTGATACCAGAGTTCCCAATGAACCATGGATGGTTTGGGTAGAATGGGAGGCGGTGGGTTAAGAGGCGAAGTTGGTGAAAACGTGGAAACGTGAAGCCAGTAGATAGGAAGTTAGGAAGTCAAACTGAGCTCTTTTGTAAACGTCTAGAATTCTCAAAAGATCGGATGACACTCCTTGAGAAGGAGCGAATACCCATCTTTAAGGAAAGAATAGCAACACCCACAGAGGAGAAAAAAAGCAAGGCATTGTCAATATTCCTTCTTTCACCTTTGCCTCCATTATCTCCCAGGCCTTTGACCCGCCAAACATGTCACCCAAAATGGATTTCTTCCTAGACCGAATCTGCAACTTCGATGCTTACCCCCCATAAAGCCATCACAATCCTTCGCCAGGGATGTTCCAAGCCATGTCCGGACCAACGGTATCGAAGACAAGACAAGCAAACAATTCCCACCCAAGTCAAAACGCCACCAACTGCAACTCCCAACAATGATTGACAGGATGACCCCGGCCCGGCATCTGCACTTCTTTGATCACAAGACAACGATAATTCAAGTCTTGTTGTAACACAGAAATCAAGCCACTGGATCTGCGTGTTCGGAAAGACATGAGTGCTTCTTTTGCTATTTACATCCCTGTCAACGAGGGCCTGGTGTTAATGAGGGGTGGGGTGTAAGAGAGGATCTCAGGATCATCGAGAGTGAGACGGATCCTTGCTCCCGCATGGCTGACGCCCACGCTAGGAGAGCCGATCCGCAAACCTCCCACGAGAAGGTAAGCAACGTCTAGTGCACGGGGGGTTAAAAGGAAGCATATGCGCCAAGAGGGCAAACAAACTCTTCTTCCACGACTGCCTTGACAGAGATTATCCTGCTGGCCATTGAACTCCTTAGGATTGTGCCGTTGAAGTGGGGAAGGTGAAAAGAACCGCCAACACCCGCTGGAAATCATGGTCTCTGCAACAGGGTAAAGACCATATGGCATACAATGTGTGCCGACCACAGCGGATGCTGCCGCGAGGTTACACGGGTCCCGGATCTTGGGAACAAGCCCCCTTCCTCTCGGCAGCTCGTTCCCCAGGTCGAATGAGACATCAGAGATTGCGTCTGCCTGCAGAGACACCTGGAATCAAGGCGTGCCGATTCGCCGTAAGACTTTTGAAAGTTCCCGACCATCCAATCATTCTGGGGCAGAGACAGTGAGAGAGAAAAAAGGGGAAACTATTGATGCCGGCGTAACAAGTTGGGAAGTCCTTGCGAGTTGGGTGTTCTCTTGACCTCTTGGCCGATTGGCTCTAGGGTAGACGCCTGTCCCGTTCCATCCCCTCACCTCCCAGGGCAAACTCGGGTTCTTGCTCCTCAAGGCCTGTCCTGCGAGACGGGCCATTGCTGCATCTTCATTTTTGAGATGCACGCGCAGTGCATACTCTGCTCGAGATGAAGTAAATTCAATGCATACTTTGAGATGTTCCGAGGCTGAACTGATTATCTCGGCTCGAGGTCGGTGGATATATGCGCTCTCTCCGCTGACTTTCCTGTGTGACAAAGCCGGCATGGACAGATGCCTCCATGCAGCAAAGGGCTTTTCCAAGGGGGCGTGTGAGATTCGGTGTTGCAGACTGTGCTTCCGTCGAAACTGCCCTGCCTCGCAAGGATAGTCTGCCAGATCTGGGTTCTGGATACCGACATATCGCGCTCATGCTGGGTGACTGGGTGCCGGTTCCCATGATTCTGTTTCTGTTTCTGATCCGGCGGAGCATCTGCGATCGATCGTACAGAGATCTACCAGAGGGATCCAGAATTACGGCCGTCTTCGATTCCCGAGAATCGCTTACACAAATTGGGTGGCTGAAACTCGGCCAATGGGGACCTGTGTGGTTGACTTCCGCGGACCCTGTACGATTTCACCCTGATGCGGCGCTTCGAGATCAGTGTGGCCTGTTTTGTTGTTTCTCATGAGTAAAAGTGAGGCAAGATGGAGGCGATTTGCGATTGTGTTGCTTCTTCGTCGACTGCGTCTTCTGAAGATGTCGGGTCGAGGATTCTGTAAAGTCCGGTGATATGGTTTAGTAGGTTTGTCATAGGAGCACAGTAAACCACATACAATGAGGGAAAAGGGATCAAGACTCAAGAACCTCGTACAGGACTGTGTGACTCTTTCAGTGAGTTGTAAGAGGAAGTCAATTGCCCTCTGAAGCCATAGACAAAATCGCAAGTCGCACAAAAGAGGGTGAAGCTCGTCAGAGATGACATGCTGTCTCAGCTTCAACCCGTCCTACGATCTCAGATGTCTCTCATCCTGCCAAAGTGGTGACAAAATAGGATGCTAGTCAACAACATTTCAACGCCCCCTTATCTGCTCATGTTCTTTCCTTTTTCTCATTATTTCTGCTATCACTTTTCTGTGTATATCCACTAGAGAATACTCTTTCAAGACAAAAAAGGAACAGATTTAATGAAAAAGAGAAAACAGGGATAGAAACAATAGAATGGAAGAAATCAAGAAAAGAGCTAGGAAGTATATCAATAGAGCGGCAAGCGATCTTGTCACCCGCTTGCGTGCATCTCCAACCCCCCTCTTACGCCCCAGCCAGGTAGCCCCGGGGTGGATGCAAATTGTCACCAGAGATTACTGAACCCCTCGGTGCGAGATGTGACACAAGACACTATGAGCGTAATCTGGGTCTATCCAGGAGCCTGGCTGCTAGATCGGTCGTGTGCGATTGACTGTCTCTAGATGGCTGATCGTCAGACGTGAGCTGTTATTTTTGGGTTTGCAAATTAAGCTTGTTAGACATGAGATGAATGGACTATCGATCTTGTCCTCATTGACTCAAATAGGGAAGTTATACGTACTGGCACTAGGAGGCTTCCAATGTGTACAGAGATTTTGTCTAGCGAGAGTGGTCGCGAGGAGCTGAAATACTGGCCAAGTGCGCATCTGTGAAGCTTGCTTGGCTCAGGCATTGACAAGGACCGGTGTTTTTCTCTGGAGCTTTGTCAACCTTCAGCTCGCTTTTGCAAAAACCTACGGTGAAGTATGGCTATGGCTTTCTTGTCAATTGTATGATATTTTTCCTGCCCTGAACTGAAACGCATTCTGCTACATCACTCCTCAAGTTCTGAGGCTAATAGATTACCTCGTCGCACAACTTGCTAGCATTACTTGCCATGATTTCTTGCCATGATCTCTTGCTCATGAACAGACTTAGGGGACCAGCGATGCTTGTAGAAAATATTCAAAATCTGAACAAAACAACGTGAACCTCGTGGTTTGTCGAGAGCAAAAGAAACTTCTGGGCAGCAATCTTCTGGTTGCAGATACCAGAAAACTTACTTTAGTTGCTATTGTCGGCTTGGCTGTCTACAATTAACAATGACTCAGACAACTCAAGAGTATCTCTTGAGTTAACAATTATTACCACTCAACTCAATTAGACACCGACTCTCAGTTTTTGATAGCAATCAGTCCCGCTACGCGATTGCACCTAACCTTCAACACAAAGTGACACTACAAAACTGACACATTTGCAACGCCAGACAGGAAAACACACGACTAAACTGCTCCCAAAGACTCCTCGTTGCTGTGACAAGAGCGACGAAGTTGTCTCTTATCCCCAACCGACCCACATTCTTCACTCATCTTCAAGACTGAAGAAAGCGTATCGCATCCAAAAGGCTTAACCTCGGCAAAACGAAAAAGCCCACCAACCAAACGGCCGAGACATCGGCGCCCGAGCACCACCTCGGATTGCCGATGTTATCCGAGTCAGTACGCCGCCAGCCCTCCGAGCCGAAGCCAAACTCACGTCCGAGGCCATGAAGCCAGTACGCCCGTTGATTGGTCTGTCAAGTGTGCAGATGCCCCATGCATGAGGCGAGGCTGAGAACTTCATGAAAACGATGCCGTTTTGTTCGGCGCAAGGCTATGTATACTCCGAGCAACGTCGGTGATAGTAGATACCTGATGACAATGCGAAACTAGTTTGAGGGGATACGAGTCGTCGAATAGCAGCGTGGGCATTCGTCATCAACAGATAATGGACGAAGTTTAGAATCCGGGGCAATTGCCACCTTGAACATATAAAAGAGAGCACATGGTGCCAGTGGAGTTTGGTAAGGTCTTGTTCAAACAACGAAAAAGGAACTCATATGCTTTGCGTGACTCCTATGCTACGTACAACTGGTACAACTACAATCTCCCAGCAAGACCGAGCCTTCCTCCCAGTGTCCAAAACAGAAATCTATTCCTCCGCTTGTTTATGCAATTCGACCGCGTCGGTGGTATCTATCTCCGTCCCAGTCTCGCCTCATTTCGAGTCTAATCGCGTTGTCGGGGGAAAAGGTAGGTAAATAGGGGAGCGTTTTGAGGAAGGTGGGAAGCCGCCCGCTGTGGTTGGTTTTATCGTATAGCTACAGGGATGGTGGTTTGTGTGTCTGTAGCTGTATTTACAAGGTATCCATCTTGTCGAGGATGGCCTTGGTGAACTGGTGGGTGGTGGCCTCACCGCCCATGTCACGGGTGCGGACCTGGCTGTTGGGTTGTTAGCAGCTATTCTCATTGCAATCCCAGGAGAGATGAAAGAACTTACCCCTCGGCAATGACGCCGTAGATGGCCTGGGAGATGCGGTTGGCGTGGTCATCGAGACCAAGGTGACGGAGAAGCATGGCACCGGACAGGATCAGAGCAGTGGGGTTGGCCTGGTCCTTGCCCTTGATGTCGAGACCGACGTGACGGCAACCGGGCTCGAAGACAGCAACATCACGGCCCATGTTGCAGCCGGGAACGATACCAGCACCACCGACGAGGGCAGCGCCAATGTTGGACAGAATGCCACCGTACAGGTTGGGCATGACCATGACATCGAACTGCTGGGGCTTGCTAACAGCCTGCATGGAGGCGTTGTCGACAATCATGTCGTTGACCTCGAGGGTGGGGTAGTCGTTGGCGACACGGTGGAAGGTGGAGCGGAAGAGACCGTCAGCCAACTTCATGATGTTGGCCTTGTGGATGCAGGTGACCTTCTTGCGGTTGTTGGCCAGAGCGAAGTTGAAGGCGAACTTGGCGATGCGCTCAGACTTGGCGCGGGTGATGATCTTGAGGGACTCGACGACACCGGGGACGGACTGGTGCTCGAGGCCAGAGTACTCACCCTCGGTGTTCTCACGGATGATGGCGAGGTCGACACCCTCATGGCGGGTCTGGTAGCCGGGGATGTTCTTGATGAGGGAGATGGAGGCGTAGATGTCGAGCTCCTGGCGCATGGCGACGTTGAAGGACTGGTGGCCGGAGCGCTCAATGGGGGTGTGGAGGATACCCTTGAGGCCGAGCTTGTTGCGGCGGAGGGAGGCGACGGACTCGCGGAAGAGGTCCTCAGTCTTCTCGGGGGTGGTGGTGTTGAGACCAGAGACCTCGACTTGCTCCCACTCAATGGGGACGTTGTCGGCCTTGAAGATGGTCTTGACGCTCTCGGCGACCTCGGCACCGATACCGTCACCAGGGATCAACGTGACCGTGTACTTGCCGCCAAACTTGGTGGGCTTGAAGATGTCAGAGCCGACCGTGGCGTAGGCGCGCGCGGGCTGCGCGGTGCGCAGAATCTGCGTGGGGGAGGATTGTTAGCCATTTGTCCGTGGGTTATCGTGGCATATCTGGCTGCATGTGTGGCCATTTTCTGGTGCCCGTGTGCTTTGTGTGCTTGTGAATATGTCTGCTTCTCGTGTATTCCTTTCAAAATCTTTCATCCTGGCCGACGTCGTCATGTTCTCTGCGTTATCTATCGGGTTGCAATTTGGTGTTTGTTGTTGTTGTTTCTCCCCCCTCTTACATCGCAGCCTTGCCTCTGCGATCACGATGCACAGACACAAACCGAGAAAAAAACCACGTCGCGGCTTGCACAGCGGAAAAGGGACTCAATTGAGAGTTGGCAAAGAGGCGACGTACCTGCGCAGTGCGGGCGGATCCTCGGGAAAGCATCGTGACGGTCGTTGGTGCCTCGTGAGGGTATTCGCGGAGCAATAGATGTTGTTCGGGGTCGGAGGAGTTGGGGAGTGGAAGAATTCAGAAAAAGAGTGGAATTCGAGAAAGGCAGAGTTGCTGGCAGTCAAATGCCGCAAGAACAAGGTACCACGGCGACAGACGGGACGGTAACTGGGAACGGTACACGGTCAAAGCACAGACCGAAGGTGGCAGGCACTGACTGAGGCAGGCTTTTTTTTTTTTCGCTCCTGCTATTTCTCGGCTGGCCGTCGTGCTTTCCGTTCTTTCTCTCCAACGCCTGCGCAGGTGGGGCACCGTGGGGATTCCGTAAGTGGCTGGTCTCCAGTTCTCTGCTGTTTTCATTCGTCTGAATGGCTGGAATGGGCCATTAGACCCGCTTTATTCTTTTCCGGGCGGTCGGAAGAATGGAAGGCGACATCCGCGGGAAAGAGAGAATGCGCAGTGCCCGCGCCTGCTTCAATGTTCAGCCAGTGCAGCAGTTCTGTCACTCGGGAAGGGAAGGAACCAAACGTGGGGCACCTTGCTCTTTTCGGTCTTAGCGCCTCTATTCTCTAGTCTTCGCGGTTGAGCCTCGGATCTGGACTCACAGCATCCCACGACGTCACGTGTCTCAATTCAATTGTCACCGGCTCGTTCTCATCTTTGGGTTCTCAACTCACATTGGCCTCTCAATGAACGCTCATATGTAGCCTCATGTGTTGATTTGAGGCTTCATCTCATCAGCAATCATAATTCTCATACGGGCGTTTTCGGTCAACGTCGGCTATCTCACATCTCCAATGAGCCGCGCCTGCCCATCCTTTCCGGAGAAACCCCCGCCAGCCCACCTATCCACTCCTTTTGTGAGACCGCCAAGTCGGTCTTAGGCCTCTCTGGCCGTATCTGCGATGTTGCGACTTCACTCGGCCGAGCCTAATCTTTACTCACGACAATACGGATATCAGCAGAATGAAACCCGCGGTGATATCTTGACAAGGTCGATTTTAGCTTGCAATGTGATTCAATTTCGTCAAAATCAGAAAAAAAACAGACCTAGCGTTTGGCTGGCATTCTCAATCGAAGATTGCTATGGCTGCGAAATCGCGGAGATATCCTCCCCAAAGCATCACAACGGCTAGCCCAGCCAGCCTTTACATTGCAAATGAATGTGGTGAGTCCCGTACAAGAGAAGCGAGTACGGCCCTTTCCCGACAGCTTAATCCAGAATGTCGATGCCATTGTAACCAGATGCTTCGACTCCCCACTCGAAGCAGTCTGCAAACAAGCGTCCGCCATCGCTTTTACCCAAAGGAGCTCCACCTATGATTTATCTCAGAATCAGCCAATGTGCCGGCTTCGCCGTCCTGCACGTAGAGGGTACTTACAGTCCATATTCTCGATAGACAAGATGCGCTGCTGGCACAGCGCCTCGTTGAGTCCGTCTACTTTATCCTCAATGATGTCTTGAACGGTCTTGCCCGCAGGACAAGCAATGGTGTTGTTTCTCGGCTTGATCCAGAAGTGAATCATGCCGACATCGTACAGCCTTGTATTGTTCAACGCATCGTCGACCTGGCGGTTATAACTCGTGAAATAGTGTCCGTCCTTTCCACGTGAAACGTCCTTGACGAACTGATCGGCCCCTTGCTGTCGGATCATCCTGATGGACTGTTCGCAGAAATCCTTAACAATTGCTTTCACAGGCAGGTATGTCGGCCGGTAATCCTTGGTGTTCCAGCATTCTCCTCTTCCATTTTCCAGTACCCCTTGTTGCTGGTATTGATACTCGAACTTTGCGATTCCGCAGCCCTCGTAATTCATGTTAATCTTTTCATGCATCCAGAACTCATCGCCGCGGCCTATCGAGATACCGTCAGTGTTGCTCATCTAGGCGATGGCATGAGGCCGTAATAGGGCGTAAAGTAAGCTGATGGGGTCAGATTCACTTACACGAACCCGCGTTGCGCAAAGTGCTAAAGACTTGCACGCAACTTCCTTGACAATTGTCGCCCGTCTGTACCCAGTCGAAGGTGACTTTTCTAGCTCTGTCTATTTTGGCCTGATTGCCACCGAAGACGCCAGTCCATGGCCCCTCCGACCAAGCTCCTCCCGTCTTGGCTAATGTGCGGCACATCTGGTTGAGTATACTGCGACGTGTTTGCTTCAGTATACTCATTGAGCACTATGATCAGGGGACAGGGTATCTTACGGCCACCAATTGTAATAGTAGACTTGCCATTTGTCCGGGCAGGTGATGTTATAGATGGGAGGGTCATCCAAGTCTGAGAGTGAGACATCATCCATGCCGTTCATTCCCACTACGTCAGCCATGCTGTTCTCCCCGTAGTAGGCGTCGATGTCCTCTTGAGTGATGACGAAAGTCTTCGTCGGAGCTGCGGGCTTTGCGGCTTCGGGGAGATCGACATCGACAACAGTCGTTGGGGAGGCCTGGGCGGTGCCGAGCACAGCGGCGAGCGCCCATAGTAGGCTCAAGATGGCCAGCATTGTGGGCGAGGTCAATATCCTGTGTGATGAGAGAGGCGCGTAATGAGAAGTGTGATGCTTGAAACCGAGAATGAAAATCTCTGGTCGATCAAGTACTTGAGGATGGGTATCTGGCGACTGTGATGAATCTGAATGATTGAAAAGTTGAAGAGCAGAAGCCATTATAAAGTTGGTCTTGTCATTGCCCCTTTTATCTCCGGCTGCATCGTCTCGAAAACACCAGCAACGCTTCAACATCGCCAATCATCGTCAACCATTGCGGACTCAGGAGATATCGTCCCTGATGATCTGTGATACTACAAAAACGCTGGATACGATAACAAAGTTCCTCGAGGTGGTAAGAGCGAAAGTTTTCAAACAAGACGTTCTCTTTTGCCACTTCAAAGCTCGTCCCACCATTGAAAGAGAATCCAATAGGGATGCACGCCTTTCGTTCCGTGTCGTTCTAGTGTCACCGCAAACAAGGCCCTCGTCTAGAGCTCAAGACATCTCATCCCGCGGTCAAACTTGAGATCGCAATCAAACCTCCGATGAGACAAAATTGGATAATATCCAGGCTACATCAAAGCAAACAAATGGTGTTCATCTGACCTGGGATGGCCAACACACAGCCACATCAGGAGGCACGGCATGGTACTGCATACCATGAATTCATGACTGCCATCCAACATTTAGAAATCCATCTCGCGTGACCTCAGTTATTCGGATCACCGAATCGTTACCAGGTCCGGAACTGACGGCCGCTCGGGATTCTCGAGCCGGGCCGTCACAGCTCAGGTCTGGAGCCCGACTGGATGACTATAGATTTAGTTCCAGCTCCAAGGTTCTTTCCCGAGTTCCAGAGTTATGGTATTTCCAGCTCGCACATCGCTTACCGTGACATCAAATGAGCTGAAGGCAATACACCTTGGAGTGAGATTCCACCAAAATTTTGCTATTGAGGAAAGATAGCATAAAGCGTGAAAGAGCAAAGTTCCGACGAAGTCGTCATACATTGTACAATGAATACCTCTGGAACCACCGAGAATGATACACGCTAAGCTGTAGTTAGACATCACGATGGCAGTGTTGCGGACATCATGCGAAAGCGGCATGGTCATTGTGATATCAGGCAACCATTTTCCACGATCCCACGTTTGTTTCACGCCATGATATCCTGAGAACCTCAAGGGGACGAGTCGGAATTAACCCAATGCCTTGTCTCGCTTATTTCTTTGGCTCAAGGATGACTATTCTTAGGCGCCCGTGAAAGAGAACAGCAGATTTTGAGCAACTATCGTGGCATTTACTACAATTTCTTAGGTGACATGTGACCTCGATCAAGAGCACCAAAGCACCCAGCCGCATCTGTGTATCTGGCACAAGGCACCGCGGAAATCTCTTCATGGTTCCGATCTATGATGTGTGGTCCATTGTGTTCGAGGCGACTGTCCTCGTCCCGGATACCCGCAGGAACCCGTCTCGTCACCGCCACAAGCTGAATTCCCCGGGCTTTTCTCCGCTAGGTAACACTAGGAATTTTCTACCAGTGAAGCGAGTGGACATAGTACCACTTGACTGTATTATCTCTTAGCTCTCGTTGATGTCAGACTTCAAAGGTGAGGCTATAGAGATTAGAAATCCAACCCCCCAAGCGACAGTTGCAAAGGAAAGCCTGGAAGTACGCTTGCGTTCTACTAAATGCAGATGGAATGAAAACATTTGTATCAGGTGCCAGGTTGACTGGTGAACAACATGAGCAACCTAATGCAGATGTTAATTAGCTCGGCAAAAGCTTGTCGAACATCCACATTCCAGGTTGTATCGTAAAGAGCCCGCTACACTAACATCACGATCGACCACATAGACGGTGCCGTCATCAGTCTATAATCGAATTGCAAGTACAGTGCTAGTTCTGGAGCTTCTGATACTGAGTCGAACTGCCGCAATCATGAAGTTGAACCCGAGACACATGAGTCCAGTAGTACTCAGACAGCGCCAAACGTGGTCAGACATCATCAACTCGAAAGCTATGACGGTCAGGGTTGAAGTCGACTGGCCTCTCCTATTGGGGGCCTGTGTTACGCGATATGGTGGCCAGTCAGGCCAGGAGTCCTAGCCGTGACTCCCTCCCCCTTAGGCTAGCTGTTCCCAGGTTTCTTCACATCGCACTGAGTTAGTTGCACAGCCATACCGAAACTTTCCGATTTTCCAAATCGTCTCCTATGATTGCGTTGTTGCATCGTCACTCAATAATACTACAAGGATGAAGTTCCTGTTCTAATTCGAGTTGTATTTCATGACCGTTAGAAGTTGGAGTCTCAGTCAGTGCAGGGTCAGACGTTTTGGATCTTCATAGTATCGTTACGATTTCTCATAATCTATGGTCTACTATGGATCCAGCAATTAAGTTTCAAAAGCATGTATGTTACGTTTTCGAGATGACCATTGAGAGCGTGGGCCCGCCCTTCGCCACGCTGCCAAATGGCACTAAAATCAATGCCATGCCATTTGAATGAATATTCCGACTCCCCAAGAGCCTCAACAACAATCACTGCTTCTGCGCAATGATCCTATAACTCGTCGTCACCAACCGCATGGTATCCATCTTGACAAAGGCCTGCCCATCCAGACAAAGCCGGTTGATGAGCGTCTTGAAGTGGGGCGGCAGCAAGTGAACCTTGACCAGACCAAGAATAACCTGTCGCAAACTGCGAAAGTAGACGTCGGCCTTGTCGATGAGTGGCGCCTGTAGCCCATCTATGCTCGCGTTGTCCGACTTCAAAATGGCGAAACCAGCATCTTTCAAGGCTTTTTCAAAAGTTTCGGGCGTCGGTGTCCCCACAGCTCCGATCAATGGCTTTGTCCGCCGCATCAACTCCGCGTGCTCCGGGTTCGTCGCATCGTACGCCGGCAGACTTACCCAATCCAGCAACGAAATCTTGGCGCCGGGCTTCAGGACGCGGCGCAGCTCGCTGAATAATTTCGGGAGGTCTTTACACAGGCTGAGCGCCTGGATCTGGTAGAATGCGTCAAAGGAGTTGTCCTTGAAGGGCAGCGGCAGCTCGTTCATGTCCTGAATCGTGAAGCTGTTTTGCAGACCCATCTGCTCGGTGAACTCCCTGGCCTGGGCGATCTGGTTCGGGTCGATGTTTAGACCGGTGACCACGGCGCCGGTGACAGCCGCTATGTGGGCCGCGACTCTTCCACGGCCGCATCCGAGGTCCAGGACCCTGTCTCCCGGTTTCAGATCAATGTCCTGGGCGATCGACTCCTCGTACAGCATCTGGTTATCGAGAACGGACGCCTTCTTGTCCATCAAGGGAGGGATGTACATCTTCTCCACGTCGCCCAGCGCGCAGAGGTGATTCAGGACTCCGTAGTAAGCTTGCAGACAGTCGCCGACTTTGGCCTTGTAATCCGGGCCGAGCGTCTTGAGCATTTGCTCCTCATCTGCCCAGTCAAGGCTGTAAATGACATAAGATGCCATGAAATCGTCGACTTGTTTTGGCGTCAAGTCGAGGAGGTACTTGAATGACTTCCAGAACGTCTTAGACCGCTTAGGCGATGCTGTGCGGTTGATATCATGTTTCGCGCTGTTGTTGCTGTGATCGCTGTTGCTGCGGCCAAGATGCAGGCCATGCTTCTTTTTCCACGATGCCTGACTGGTGGGCTTCAACGTTGAGACGTCATCTGAGGTCTCGCTGGGGCGGGGGCTCGTATCACCGATTTGAGGTATTGTTGTCGCCGATGGCGGTTGCGCAATCGCTGCCGCTGCTGACATGACTGCTAGTGGAATGACAGATGACGTGCGGCTGTAGGGAATTCAGAGGCCTTGTGGTTCTATCCGTAGGTAAGAGGTAAGACGACTAACAGATGAGTAGAAATCAAGAGAGGCAGGAAGACAAGCAAGCTGGGTATCACAGTGTGCATCCAAGAAATGATGGAGAGGCGAAAGGGGAGCAGGTGATGGGAGACCCAAAGTCCTTTATACATAGTACTGTCATTTCTTTACTCGTCCGTTTGGCATTCGATCAATCATCAATGACCAAATGGCAAACCACCCAGTCAAACAACGGAGAAAGATCTGACGGAGCCGCAAACCGGATTGCTTTCTAATCTCTCGTGACGCTGCTCGGGATGGACGGAGGTATGTCCGAAGATTCCGACTGGGTCCAACAATCACCAGACCACTCACAAAGGACGGGAGCTCCAGCGCTGGGGCTAGCAGCCAGCCCATCATCAGCTAATAACACAAGGGGCCGGAAAAAGCAGCGCCTTGGGAAGCTCCGAGCACATCAAAATAGAGGGAGACGTAAGGGAAAACCCGCGGGCAGCGGACACAGCGGACGGACTTGACCCCTGGCTCACGCGCTGAGTCATCTCCGGGGCCGCCTGATACTTCGATAAAGAACTTGTCCTGCGGTGCGGCGTGTGTAACTGTAAAGGTCCTGCCCTTGTCTAGACTCTACCGCATTGCAACAACGTCCGCCGTTGCATCGCATTCTGCGCCTCTCTCCTATTTGCCCTTGTCCATTGGCTCCTCTGTCCCGCTGTTTTCCATTCGTTGCGTGTGTGTATTTGTTGCATTTCGACGTCATTGTGGCGCTCTCTGCATGGCTTCCAAAATTTTGTTGTTCTCTTTACCGGCTTACTCCCGGTGGATTATTATCAAAGCCCAAATCCTCCCTGCTTAGCCCCAGTTTAAACCACTTTATTAAGCACGTTCGGCATGGCACGCGGATCCGGCGTTCGTCGCGATAGGGCTGATGTGGCTGGAGCTGTGTGGTTAAAGCGGACATGAAGCACCGGTGAAAGGGCGAGGGCGCCAGAGGTCATTGCGTCCACTTGTGTTTCGCCATGTGTGGCTCAGTAGTTGCTCCGAAGTGTGGTTACGTCGTGGACTCATCACCAGCGATGAAATGTGATAAGTGTGTGAGCTGTCAATACGGTGAAACTGCTCCATGGATCAAAGAGTACATGCTACTCAACATTAATTAAGCTACATCATGTCATCTGCTGCCGCACACATCATCCAACCGTCGTAATTTTTGACCTTTAAACTACAAATAGCCTCAGCTTGGTATCAGGCACTGCCTTGCTCTCATAGAAATGTGGCCTGGAGCGTTCCGCATATTGCTGTAGCCCATCAGTTTATTCAAAGTATGCCTTGTTATTCTCAGGGCTTACCTCGTCCCATACGTTCGGGTGCCAGAGGCTCAGGAAGACTTGTTGAGTTGCTAGGCTTTTCTGCGGCGGCCTCTTCATTTCATGCAGTCGTCCGTACCAGGAGTGGCGTTGCCTGTCTCATGTCTAATTGTTGGAGTCCAAGCTCAAAGTCAACCCAACTAATCCACTATCAGGACCGGTTGGGAGAGCCAATCATGGCTATCGACAGCACTCGACCTCGGATCGCGACTTCACTTTGATACCTATCCTACCTTGATTGCATGCGATGATTCATACGGATGCTATAAGGACACGCAAACAAGATTTTTATGCAAGGACTAATGGGTGATTCATGTCTTAGATTGAGGACTTATTCCGCATGTCGGAGGTGTGATAAGGTGCCTAGGTCACGGACCAACACATCTCCTGACATAATAGCGCATGCCCTTTTGGCTGTTATTCCTCGATACAACGCTTGCATCAATAGGGGTCATTCGCCTCTGGACAACTCGCCGAGAAAAAAAAAACCACTTGTCGCTCTTTGCCATTCTCGAGTGACTTACTCAATTCTTGTTTCGGATATCAACATAATGTTCTGACTGTTCCGCCGTCTGTAAAATGTTGGAGACCGGTCCTCATGAACGGCCGCCACATTTCTGCTGAAGAGTTTTTTCATGCTTCTATTGAGCCTCAGAGAATCATTCTTGGAGCGACAGGCGACGTTACAATGTTAACATAAGGTACAGGGGGTATGTTCACTTTTGCTCGCCATCTGTAATTTGACCCAAGATGAAGAAGTCTCTCTCCAATAGGGCTCTTGATCAGATACTTTTAGCTCGGGAATATTGTAAAACGTCATATTACGGTAAAGTTTGCTGCATGACGTTGAGTTACGAAGCCTCTCTTCGAACTGAGTCTGCTCATAAGCTGTTGAGATGTGCCACCACCCCCATCTGTCCGGGCCCAATGACTCGACTCGTGTTGGTGTTATGGTAGCATACGGATAATACTTGATTGATGGAAGTAGTTAGTCGTTCTACCAGAGAACCACCCAACTACCGTTCAAGGGCTTAAGTGCCTCTAGCAAAATCAAATGTCCGTTTACTCACATCATGTACTAAGAAATGAGGCGTTGAGACAAACTTAAAAGCAAAATAAGGGAGTTTTTGCTTAGCTTACTACTTTGACTACCTATAATTGACCGCATTCACTGGCTAGCTTATATCACAATCTTGTGCGAACCGCCATTTGAATGTTGGAACATTTACCGGCTTCCCACACTAGACTTCGTAAGTACATGTAGCAAAACCAAAGCAGCACCAATGGTCGAACGTGTTGAGTACATCACCGCTGTCACGTCAATTATCTCGAGACTGCATTGAGCCTACATGTAATCACCTTTACATTTGGAAACAAATTGAAAGGAGATGTTCTGCATTAGATGATATGACCAACGGCGTGCTGAGGAAATCACACGTCGGGAAGGTATTCACCGTGTTTGTCATACCTCTTTCTCCCATTCGCATATCCAATCCTGTCGAACGAGTTGAGGTAAGACCTTGGATCCGGCCATCTCGGCTTTCTGTTCAGTTGAATATTCTGAAACTCTATGGACATCGTTGGTCTCGTCCTCGATAATGCAAGCACGTGCTCCAGGTAAGGCTTGCGAAGCCGACCATCATAAGCGTAGAGCACAACCTTCTTGAGCTTCGGAGCCCAGCTGGGCTGTCTCGCTAGCTCATCAAAGAATTCCTCGTGCACAAAGAGAGTTTTATTCGCAGCTTCGCCGGTTATCTGCAAGTGCTTCAGTCCTGGACAATGTCGACAGAATGCGATCAAAGATCTGTGACCCAATTGGGCGGTAGCCCGCAATTTGATAGATCGAAGATTAGGGCACGCTGCCGCCAGCTTCACAATATGGTCGTCCGTTAAGTCTCTGGCGTGATTATCGGGATGATAGCCGTCGTCCAAGTGAAGAAATTCAATGTGCCACAGGTTACGACAAACTTTGGGGAAAGAGATGAGGTCGTCGATGATTTTGCTGGGGACAATGGTAAGCAGATGCAGTGCTATTGAGTCAAGCGGTGCAATAAGTATTAAAGCAAATCTGACTTCTTCTATAACCGAAACAGCCGAGGGTAGATGGGATATGCATCATTAGATATTAACTTACGGTGTCAGTTGCGTTTCGGTTCCGAAGACAATTTCTCTTGTCGAAGATCCCAGCCAGTTCAGATGATCCATTTCCCAACTCCGATTACCGTTGAAAAGGATACCCTTGGTGCCCTTCTGAGTGTCTGGGCGCCTGATACGCTTCAACTGCTGGATTGATGATGCTCTTGATTGTGACGGCTGGGACTCAGACGGAATAGTGACTGTCTGAGGCACTAGATCAGGTAAGACCACTTTGTCCGTCATCACTAAGTCGATGATATCGTCTCCTTCCTCAGGTGGAGTCTGCGAGTTCGTCGGTGTTGTTGTTGTCATTGAAGAGGCTGGCGGTGTGGTCGATTGTGAGATTGGCGCGGGTTCTACATCTTGAGGTGCTTCTGGCGTCTTTGGCGTCTTTGGCGCCTTTGGCTGGACTTTGATAGCGCGGGCTAGAGCTTCATTTCTGTCTACCTTCACGAAGAAGGCTGCAACAGAGCCAGACTTCTTCGCTGCGGAAGACTTTGCTGTCCGAATTGGAGGCATCTCAAGCGGTTAGTATGAAAGATCAAAGAGATAATCACGGCGAGGAATAGGATGGGAAAGCAGAAATGGTCAGAGAAGAAGGGGGGTCGAGTTATTAGGTAAGGTTTCGTGAAAAGTGGAGGATGACTCGCTGGCACAACAACGATAGATGAAGTAGTATTGTCGTCTACCTAGTCTAGGACAGCGATTGAGGGGCATGTGACAAAATGCCACGTTCAATTATTGCTGCAGCTCTGCATTGAGAAAAATGCGGCAAAGAGAAATGACATGACATCCTTTTTGCCTTATTGTTCTGGTGACAGGTTGCAGAATGGCTCGTTACTAGTAGCTAGTTGTCAGAGCCAGAGTAGTACAACGTAAGGCCCCGCAGAGTTGCCGACGCATTATTACCGATTTAGCAGGGGGGGATCTAACAACAGAGCTCTCGCCATTTCCCTACAATGCCAGATTCGAGGTGAGAAGCAGAAATGTTGGTAATAAAGATATCGTGTTCTGACTGTCATTGCAATGCTGCATGAAATCAACATTGACGCGAGAGTGGGCCAGGTACTGATTTCTAGCGCTGATACGGCTAGTATGACGGTGAAGTGTTTTCCGTTCGCTTTGTACATATGCTGAGCAATGGCAACTGGCATTGGAAACGAGTCGGTCAGGACCTACTAAGTCCACTGACCAGCTATGGTGTTTTTCAATATGAGATAGCTTTGCGAAAAGGCGTGCGAGTACAGATAAAATTAGGCAAAGTTGAGCCCGAAGTTGAGACCTACGATGGGCTCCATGCTATTACACTTCGTTCCGGGCTCCAAGACAAGTTCATTAGTCTACAGTCGCTGCTGCCCTGACGTGAGGTGAGGTTTGACTACCATCGCTTAGTTTACAGAGCCTATGTCTTTTTGAAGAAGTGACCTTTACACGCGGACGAATCTTGGTCACAAAAGCCGAGGCCTGGCTCGGTATCCATTTCAGCTGGTGTGACGCCTCGTAGCAGACATATTTTGACGCATGCCATTAGGAGATGATATCTGCTGTGGGAGGAATTGTGTACGTTATCCCAATAGTTAGCTGTTTGCAAGTGTGATCCTGAACGGAGTAGTCCGAATGCTGCGGTTTCGATGTGCGCAGGTCCTGGTCACTGAAACAGCGTACCTATCTTTATCCCTAGTAACAAAGCTAATTTGAGCTCCACGACCTTCTACGAGAGTTTCATATGGATGTTCCAATGAAACTACTGGATACTCCATGACAAGCGGATCATAGCATGTCATCTTCACGACGATCAGACCGACCTATAACTTCGCATGGATCTCCCTGAGCCCCACAAGGTGACTATGTGACGGTGTAGCGTGTCAGACAGGTCAAAGGAAGCATTTTGCGATACCGAATACGTAAAACAGGGCTATGTATCCCGTTGACAGTGACGCCGAGAAAATATTGGATGACAGACTAGGATCTCCTGAATCATGCCATGAGTCAACCTCGAATTTGCAAAAGTTCTGGAACATTAGGATGGTCACGAAATTGTAGAAACCCGCTCAAGGACAAGTCCGGCATCTAGAGTTGAGATAAATATGGCCATCACTTTCCTTGATTCAAGGGAAAATGTGTCGTTCGTCCCTTGATTCAACTGACATCCACATTATGCCCATTCTGTCTGGTACAGAACCTCACTGTCAAGTACGATCGCAGAGCCATATTTTGTATCATCTCGTTAGCACTTACCAGATCATTCATTTTCCCTTATCAAATACTCACTTGCCTCGTCCACCTCTTTCCATCCCTCAAAATGCGGCTTATCACTTTGACAGCTTGCCTAACGCTCCTTTCGAGCCGGGTATTTGCCCGTAAGTACCCAAGCCTTCTATCTGCAGCAAGCGTCGGATTAGTGTCCCTGTCAGCTGGAGCAGGGAAAGCAACTATTACTTGGTACCTGACTTGCTCGAACCCATTCTTGTGGCCCATGAGAATCGCGCAGATACAAACTTTGGATCAGACAAAACTAATGAAGCTTCTAGAAAGTTGTAACAACGGTCGAGGGTTTTGTAAAGGCGGACGATGCGAGCCTAATAACGACCCGAGCGGCGCTGGCCCATTTGTCGGTAACTTCAAGGAATGTCAGACCGGGAACGGACGATCTCAAGTCGACGACTTTATCTTGGGAGGTGGTGATCAGGATGCTCAAGTCAACGCTGGCGCTGCTTGTAACAATGGTAGAGGAACCTGCAGCGCTCGCGGTGCTTGCGAACCTAACAATGACCCCAGTGGCGCTGGACCATTTGTGGGAACTTTTGAGGAGTGCTTCAGTTAGAGATGCTAACATCTTCCCCCAATACAAGACAGCTTTCAATTGTCTGACAGTATGGCCCTTGCCAATAACCACAGCCCCAAGCGAGACGGATACGACAATGTGTTGCCAGTCTTCCTGGTCGACGGCGGAGTTTATATATCCTAACTTCCTAAGTCCGGCTCGTAATGAGGGGCTGAGGAGCTTATTCAGGACCAGTCATCAAAATCAATGCCCATGAGCTCAAGCTCAGCTCAAGAGCTAATTCCGATTCACTAATGCTCTGATGGTCAGCAAGCTGCACCAGTTGGTGGGCTCAAAGAGGTAGGCCAGTGATCAGCGCAGTGCGGGGTAGCTCTTCGCCTCTCGGTTCCATCACTGACCCGCGCTGTGACCGCTCCAAAGTATGTCGCGATCGGGCTTGATGACGTTTGTGCTGCCAACGTAGCTATTTAGACCATCTCTCTGCCCTTCAAGACCTTCCACAGTTTTTCAGTCAATCAATTGTCTGCCAGCCGGTCTCAGCAGATCATATTCACCCGTACAACGACTTATTCATCAAGAATTCAGCACAACTCGTAGTCATGTCATCTAAGGAGCTCCCAGCACGCCTGAGGGAGAGTATCGAGAGCACCAAGGTCGAGTACCGCCAGCTCGGAAAGTCCGGATTGCGTGTTTCAGTTCCCATCTTTGGCTGCATGAGTTTTGGAGACTCTCAGTCCATCGACTGGGCTCTCAATGAGGACGAGGTATACTGAACGGCTATCTCACGATCCTTGACCAGCGTGGCTAAGAATGTAATACGTAGGCACTTCCTCTTCTGAAGGCGGCTTATGATCGGGGGTTGAATACTTGGGATACCGCCAACGCATACTCGAATGGCGCATCTGAGCGGACGATTGCGAAGGCCCTGAAGAAATACAACATCCCCCGCGAAAAGGTGGTCATTTTGACCAAGTGTTTCTTTGCTGTCGGTGAAGAGCCTGGTATGTGACTTGGTACCTGATGCTGTGACAATCATGGTCGCATTGCTGACGACCTGCCCACTTTGTAGAGACTCGTCACTTCAACTACCGCGAGGAGATCAACAAATCGAAGGACTACCAAAACCAGTGGGGTTTGTCCAGAGCTTCTATCTTCAATCAGGTAGAGGCATCGTTGAAGAGGCTGGACACTCCGTACATCGACCTTCTTCAGATCCACAGATTCGATCCCAGAACACCCGTAGAGGAGACGATGAAGGCGCTGCACGACTTGGTGCAGACGGGGAAAGTTCGGTACATCGGTGCCAGCAGCATGTGGGGTACTCAATTTGCCCAGATGCAGTTCATTGCTGAGAAAAATGGCTGGACAAAGTTCGTGAGCATGCAGAATCATTACAATCTGTTGTATCGCGAAGAAGAAAGAGAGATGAACCGATTCTGTAACGACACCGGAGTCGGACTCATTCCGTGGGCTCCTCTTTGTAAGTCAATGACCTTCACATTCAGGTTCAGCTCACGCTAATTGGTGACATCAACTAGGTCGTGGTCACCTAGCCCGACCACCCAAGGACTTCGGCTCCACCTCCCGCAGCAAGACCGAGAAGGAGGGTCAGCCCGGAAGCCATGGAACGGTGGAGCCGGACTTGACCATCATCAAGCGAGTTCAGGAGATCGCGGAGAAGCGGGACTGGCCCATGTCCCACGTGGCTCTTGCATGGATCAACAAACGAATTACGAGCCCCATCATCGGCTTTAGCAGCGTTGAGAGAATCGACCAAGCAATCACTGCCGACGGCAAAGTTCTGACCGATGAGGAAGAGAAGTACCTTGAAGAACTGTATCAACCCAAGGCCATCTCGGGACATGCGTAAGTTGGCCGCGGGGAAGGATCTAGCTAGGTACTTTAGCCATTGAACAACAATTAAAGTAGAGCCAATCGGATCTTTCTTCAATTTTCCTCCAAATGATTCTGCATACCATCAAAAGTACACAAGTTGGCCAGCATCTCCCCGAAAGTGGGCAATTATTAACTCTTCCAAGACATTGACGAAGCTTCGATTAAGCGATCAGTGGTCCCCGAGATCTGTCTCCCAGTACTGCCTTGAATTACGGTCCCGAACACGAATTCGGAGGTATGAAGATTCGGACCCCAGATTGGCTGAAGCGGTCTTCGTCTGATCTCCCTCAAATCCTTGCAACACAGACCGTCGCAGAACATGAATTTTCGCCTGATTCGGCGACAGGACCCTAACCAAGACGACCTCCAACGTAGCCGATGCAGCCTGGTCAGGCCGATTTAAGCTCTTGTTGTTCTTCCCACCCTCTTACATTACACTATTCATCCATCCAGCGTCGTATCCCAAGTCGCAGCCATCTGAAAGCATAATCGCTTGACACCTGCCGACCCATCATATGCGATCTCGCCGCCAAGGGTGGAAAGAAACGTGCTTCCACCGATAGGATCGAGTCGTAAGGAGAGCAACTTGTTGTTACTGAGAGGTTCAACGAGCAGCCCACAACCTTGACAGACTGTCAAAATATAGGAACACTTCCGTTTCGGGCGATGCGATGCGAAAGACAACCCACAGTATCCGCCATATCGCTACCTCCCGCGCGGCGCTACCTGGTTCATCTGGAATTAAGCTCATTGGACAAACCAAGACGGTACCGATGGGATCTTGGTTCATCGATCGTAATGAAGTCATTGCCTTTCTATCCATCCCGAAGCCGAGCAC